AGGGAGGAGGTGAAGGCCGCATTTCAGGTCTGGGCTGGACTGGGCTTTTTGCGTAGAAGGAGCGTGTCGGAAATGGAGCCCAAGAGCCTGGTGCTGTGTTTTGCCATGAGTTCCTCTACGTGCTCCTGCACCATGAGGGACAATGTTACACCACAACTACAGCATTGCCATGTACTTCTAAATGCTGAAGGTCAGACTAAAATGCTGATGCTCTGTGAATATTATAGTATACTCTTTCCTGGAGCTGAGTGATGAGCCTCATTCTGCGCTGTTTGGTCCTCCTCACCTTTGCCCTCCACCTGCATCTCTCATCCCAAATCTGGGGTGGGCTCCCCATGGCATGGGGGGAGAAGGTGGAGTTGATGTAAGGTGATGTTCCCTGTGATCGTCAAAGAATAGAAATGGGGAAAAGTTTGTAGGAACCTTGATATACTTACACTTGTCAGTACTTTGTTTAGATAGTTTTGCTAAATCGTTGTAGGAGTTAGGGTACCGGTAGGTTTTGCAGGGACTCATGTCTGCAAGTGCTGCTCCCAGGACTGAAATTCTTACATGTATTTTGTAAAGTAAAAGTTGTAGCAAGTCTTCCCTTGCTAGGAATATAATTTACAGTGTTAACAGGACAAAAAAAAAGTTAGTTGTTCTTAAATGAAAGGCATGGTAGTAAGAAATATATATTCTCACGTAAGTTGCTTTTAGAAAAGACAGTGTCCTTTTGCGCCCTGAGTAAATATTGCATAGCACATATGGCTTATTCAGATGATCCAAGTAATCTCCCTGTTTTGTTTTTAGTCATCTAGGTTGGCTTTGGACAGTCTTTTTTTTCTAAATTGATCTGATTTTAAATAATGTTACTGTTTAAAAATAATAATTAAAAAAAACCAAAAAAGCTCAAGCATCTTAGATGTTTGGTCACTCTTTGGAAAGATGTTTCAAAGTGGTTTTTTTTTTTTCAGGAAAAATGGAGACTTCTTCCAGCATTTCTAAAGGTTAGTGTTACGCACTCATTTCACGGCATGAATACTTCGTCTCCTTTCTAACTTTACATTCCCCTCTTCTAGCTTTTGCTGTTTCCCAGAATACCTGTCCTCACCTTCTGTGTGGATTTTGCAATTATTTTTTTTTTAGATCCGTGCAATTATGGATAAAGTTGTTACATAGATTGGTTTCTTGATTAATTTACAGATTAATTTGTGGAGGTATCCTTTTAGAGTTTGCATTTTTGTATGGCTATTCTCAATGAACAATATATATGTGTAATGTTTCCAGATTATTTTACTCTTTTACTGGCACTCACAGACCTATATAGAGACTATTCATGGTCTTTATATAGAACTGTGGTGTTAGGTTTGTAGTTGTGTTTGTCATGGGAAGCATATAACCAGATCTGGATTCTGCAAAGGCTTGAATATATGCGTATCTTCCCTCACAAAGTCAGGGCTTGGCTGAACTCAAAGATTACTAGTGTCTTAATTTCAGTGCTACTCACATAATCTGGTATTAGTTGAAGGCACAGTTCTGTACAAAATGCCATTGGATGTAATAACAGAACTAACAAACAGTTGGACGTGAGGAAGGAGAAAGGCAGTAAAGAAAGTTGTGTCATAAAGATGGCAGGTAAAGTCTGTGATATGCATAGGTACCTTCAGGGAATTGCAGCCGCCTCTGCACCTGTCATCAGTCTTTGGAAGTGTTGCCCACTTCAGCAAGATTCTTTTCAGCCTCAGTTTGTTAATTCCTTTCGTTCCCAGTTTCAATACTTGCACTTCTCTTTTTGTTGCACCCTTGAGTGTTTGATCCTGGCAGGAAAACAAAGTTCAAAAGTCAGTTACGGATTGTATATGTTTTCACTTTGGTTCAGGGCTGTGAAGATGCTTCAAGGCCCTAATGAATCCTGTTTCTGTGTCTCTCCTAGCAACCACATGGACTTCCATCACGAGCTTGAGCTAGTGATATTGTCTGAATTCTTGAGACTGTGGAAAAGGGAGGGCTGTTGATTGTGAGGTGCAATTTACAGTGTGCTTTATGCCAAGCGTATCCATCCCACATTATTTCCAGCCAGTGAGCCCTTTACTCTAGGGCTGCTGCTGGTGGTCTGGCCTTTCTGTTACGTGTTGGTTTGTTTATGCCAGCAGTGATACAGTTATGCAAAGCTGATGATGTGCATTACAGTTTCTATAGTGGAGTTTTCTTTCAATAAAGCTGTTGATACCACCTCATAAAAAAATGGAAAGAACTAGCAGCCTGATTTCTAGACACTAATAAATCCGTAATATTTTCTTCCCTATACAATATGATGTGCAATGTTTTTGTAAATTAGGGAAACTCTTATCTATAGAATTTTGCTCTGGAGTCATCCCTCCTTTGTCTTAACCCATGGAGGCTTCACTGAGCAGCTGGATTTGTCATTCTAAGTTTCCCATTTCTTTCTAATAATTTCAGAGTGAACTGTTGTCTATCATGCAAACTATGTAACTGCATCTGTTTTCTGTATGAAGTTTTAAGTCTTGTAACGTGTTAGTTGTCATGGGACGTTTCAAAGCTTAAAGCCCTCTGTGAGCATGTAAGCACATGTCTCAATATCAGCTAGCACAGGACTGGATTCTGCACAGTTAGGATAGTTACACCTTTTATTTCTGCAAACGCCAATCTATTAAAATGAATGCTTCTCTTAGTATTCCTTCAAACCAAAATCTCTTTTTTTTCTTTAGTCGCAGATCATTTTACTTAGTATAATCCCCCTTTTTTTGTTTGCTCTAAATGTCTTAAACTTAAATCCTTTAAAGGTACTGTATCAACTCATTACCTGGGGGAATGGGGTACTGTTTATTCTGTGTGATAGTACCCCTGGGCATGTCCTCTCTCTTCCTGCCTCCAAATCAAACTCAGATTTCTTATGAGTGTCCTGCCCTCCTGTGACTGTTCCCTTGCTTGTTGACTTCTCTCTTTCACACCTCACTCTGTTCCATCTCCCCAAGCTGCTCTTGTTAGGGTGCAAACAACTACTTTCTCAAGCAGCGCACGTGGTTAATTATACTATAAATTATTAAAATTATTTCAAAATAACGGCAAACTGATAAAATATTTTGACTTGCAATGGCTCTTGTTTGTTTACATGAATTTCAGAGTCTATTGGGCGTTTACTTTGTACAGTTACCGAATTACTTTTCTGACTCAAAGAACAATCACAGCTCTGGTGTAAACCTGGAAATGTACAGTGTAGAGCCAGACCAATCGTCCAGGCACTTCTTAGAAGTTTGTCAACGGAAAGAATTTAGCACAGATTCAAAAGCACTTATCAATTTTTATATCTTAATTTCTGCCTTGTATGATTAGTGTAATTGAAGCTCATTTTATTTGCTGCATGCATGTATTTTCCAGGTGAAAGGACTTGTGAAGCAGCACATAGACTCATTCAACTATTTCATCAACGTAGAGGTATGCTTTCTTGGTGGGAAGAGGGTGGCTCTTAGTGCTCAGAAAAGGCACGTGATTCTATTCTATTTTTTATTTCCCTCCAGATAAAGAAAATCATGAAGGCCAATGAAAAAGTTACAAGTGATGCTGACCCAATGTGGTACTTGAAGTAAGCATGAAATGATTTCCATATCAGTAGTAGCATGTGTACTATCTCATGAGTTTGTTATTGGCTATAAAATGTTTATAGGCACCTTTGTAGGTATAAATCAAAAGAGTATTTTCCATGGCTTATCTCTTATTTGGAGCGTTGAAAGATGGGAAGATTTAAAGAATAATCACATGAAGCAGACTTAATAGCCAGCTGTTAACAATACCTTATGTCACCATTTTTCTGTAATTTAGTAATCTTGGATGACAGATGGGAGTTTCTTTTTGTCTGTTTGCAAAGGTAACCTGAGGTTTATTGCATGTGCAGTTTAAATTTTAACTAACTAGAACACAGCTCAAATACAATGAGTTACTTTGGGAATAGTCATTGCTCATTGTTAATCAACTTACGTTCATCAAAGTAACTTCATTTTTCAGTAGAACGTAGAACTCTGCTTCCTTCAGATCGCCTGAAAAATACTTGGCTCATTGCTCATTTTGGACCTGTTTGTATTACAGGTACCTCAATATCTATGTGGGTACTCCAGATGTGGAAGAAAGCTTCAATGTGACACGACCTGTATCACCTCATGAGGTATTAATGTTTGCATCTTGATTTGTTTGTTTGACCTTGGGAATGTCTTGGATAGTAGCTGCATATAACTTTATTTTGAGTACGTGCATGCTACATTAAGTGATACAATGCATGCCACCATCACTGTAGAAAGAAGCCTCAGAGATTTAAACATCGTGTAATAAATTTTTTTATTTTTTAATTTTTTTTTTTTCTGACGTGTGCAAATAGCTGTATTCAGTGTTTCACGGTAGCAGTATTTGAGTGGGTTTCCACGAAGGTAGTGAAAAGTACTTCTCTTGCTTAATCTTGTAGCTCTCCTTATGACAGAGCTGAAGTCCTCACACTACAATGTAGTGTTCTTTGATGTTTTTATTAGCTACTTTTTAATATTAGCCTTGCTACTGTCTGCACCATAGGTCACTTCAGTCTTCCTTTCCCTCCCAGTCTTCTTTGGGAACGTATCTCTGATTTTTTTCTCATCATTTTTAAGTCTGAGTCAGAGAGCAAACCTGGAAAGTTTGAGCAGAAACAGATGGAAGTTGATAAAATTACAAGAAACTGCAGAAGAACATTAGCTTTATGGGGAATATATTTAACTTCTTTGTACTGCTGTAAGCATGTAGGTTAACAAATGGATTGTGTACTTCTGGAATAAAGATGCGTGTTGGAGAACAAATGCTGCTGTGACTGAAATCAGAGTGTCTGTTGCTTTTGGCAGGATATAAGGTAGCTTCTGTACATACAAGAAAGCCATAAGCTAAGATAAGGTTTGGACCTTTTAGGGTTGCTTCCAGGTGTCTAAAGCCAGTCAGTTCCCTTCAGAGATTGCTCAGCAACAAAGTACTCCTCTCCTGCTGCTGTGCTTTGAGATTTATACTACTGCAATAGAGGTACTGACAACCTCTTTTTGGCCTCAGAATGGGAACTGAGCTTGGAACTTGCACTCATTTACCTACATACAGCCTGTTGTCAACCTATCAGTTCACATATCAGATGCTTTTTTCCTTGCTATATACACTTGGTACTTGAAGTTGGATTGTTTTTTTTTCATGTAGTGTATGTGGCACACTTTAGATTCTATCATGGAATACATTCTGTGCTTTGGAGAAATTCTGTAAAAAAAAGCCATCTAGTGGCTGCCTCTTGTGCATAGCCACAGTTCTGTCTCCGGTGACCTCACTCAAATCTCATTTAGTTCAATGGAAAGATTTTAAGTAAGGCCAATAACTCAGCCATCAACAGTGCAATTAGATGTAGTACCGGACAGCTCACGCATCTCACAAATGTGTAGCTAACGTTAAATCAGGAGATGTGAACGTGCACAAAATGCAACAGGAAAGATTTTTTTATGTATGAATGAAATTGCATGCAAAAAATTGTTTGTGGCCAACAACTCATATCCAAGAATCCAGGTATTAAAATGCTTTTTTTTTTTTTTTATGTATTACTTTATAACTAAAGTGACTGTACATGCAAAAGAGGGCAAAATAAATGCTTCGTAGAGCATATTGACCTTGAATATAGGATAACCTACTCTTGCATCTCAGATATATCCTCCTTGATGCTTAACGCTAGTGCATCATTTCTCTTTTTTTTCAGTTATACACACGTGAAGGCCATAGTTATTTTCTTAAATAGGATGCTGATCAGGTCAAACAAGGGGTGCAATTTAACAAACAAAACAAAAAGATTGGATACTTACGAGTATGTCATTACGTTTCTCTGTTAGAGGCTTATAAAATTCCTTCCCAAAGACACCTAAAATGATCAGATTTTCATAAGGGTCTGAGTATTTTACCTATTTTCAACCAAATTTGGGAGTTTTTCTGTCCTTGGTTTCCTTGAAGATCAAGTCATGCCTGTCCTTTACCTCTAGGTGTCTAATGTAAGGAGAAGTTACCTCAAGGAAGGTGATACAAAAATACAAGTGCTGGAATATTACACTGTGTAATTCTTATTTTATATCTGTGTCTTGTGTGGACAAAGTACACACAAAGAATCCCAAAGCCTTTTTTTCCCCAAGTAATACTAATGAAGCTGTCTAACTCTCCTTCACATGCAGTTATTATGGGAGTTTCATGAACTATTCATATAGATGAATTTAAAGTAATTAGAAAATGGAAATGTTCTCAGTTACTTTTAAATTTGATGAAGTTGAAGTTGCTGGGAGCACAATGGGACCTAGTTTCCTGCAAGTCACAGCTTGAAAACTGCTGATGCACATCAGTATTTTATTACTAGAGAAGCGGTTTACTTTTTAATGTGGGGAGAAGGAGCATCCAGTTTGCAATGTTTCTTGAGGCATATTTTTCCATACAGTTGCATCTTCAATGCACAGCACAATCTTAATTGCCTTTTATTAGTGCATAATCAATACACTGAAAGACTATAGAACCATAAATGTACAAGTCTGAATGCTGATAAACCTATAATCCTGGAGCTCAAAGGTATAGAATGCTCAGTGAGGTCATGAATGACCTGCTGTGAGTTGCTCTATTGTATTCGGCAAATGCAATAAACCTTGTCTTGCATGAAGATATGCAATACCTTAAGGGCTAGTAACAGAGTCATAGAGTGAGGTTGGGAAGAGCAGACCAGAAAGATCGGATTAGAAATGATTGAGCCATGAGCTAATATAATGTCCTAGATATGTATATCCTGCTTCTCTTGCTATCTGAGGAATTTGCAAACAAATTCTGGGAATCTTCACAGGAAGTGATACTGTAGTGAGCCTTCCTTAAGTCATCTTTAGAAACAGTACCATACAGTGAGATTTGCTCGTTCTGTTAATAAGGTAGCGCAGTGTCTCTCTTACTCTTGTGTGTTTCCCTTCTATCGAACTTCATACGACAGCACAACTCTTCAGCTGTTCAGAGTCTTCATACAGAAATGTCCCTGAGCTGAGCGCTGCTCTCAGAGCCTGTGGCATAGTATGGTCTTTGTGTCAGCTCTGCTGATTAGGCCTGTTTATTTAATTAAAAGTTTAGAAGTTATGCTCTGTGGGGCTGTCCTCTGAAGACATAGATCCACTGGCTGCTTTTGAAACATGACAATAATTGTATTTGGGGTTTTGTTTTGTTTTGTTTTAAACAGGATACTCTGTCAAACATAGCCCAGGTACCATGAAGAGCTTGGGCAAGCTTTGGTTTGCTTGATTTCTTTGTGAGGACTTACAGGAGACAGGGCAAACATGGGATGTTTTAAGAGAGACTCTTCAGCTTGTAAGCCAACATCTGACCACATGACTGTTCTCCTTCTAGTGCCGCCTGAGAGACATGACTTATTCTGCCCCAATTACAGTGGACATTGAATATACACGAGGCAGCCAGAGGATCATACGCAATGCATTACCCATTGGCAGGTAAGATACCATATGTCGAGCTTCTGATATTAGTTTACATTTGCTGCTGTGTTGGGAGGAGTTTTATTGCAAAATAAAAGTAGACTAACATTGCTTCCTTGTTAGAAAAAAAAGTGAGCAGGGAAATCTTGATGAACAGTTGTACAGGATGTGATTGTTAGGTTCTGTTATAAGATTTTGTTTTGCAAAAGCTTCTGGAAATCTGTCTCCTTCAAAAGAAGGACGGATATAAGGATGGATGTTGTATATGTTTGTATCGATATAAAACCAAAGAGGGAAATACATGAAAGAATACTGGAGCTGCAAGTTGCATTATTGCAAAATGGAAATAACCACGTTTGCTTTGTAGCGAAATTACTCAGTCCTCCATACATAATATGTAGAGATATGTCTGTGGAAGGTGGATGGTAAAACCAGTAAAGCAAGCATTAGTTCTTCTGTACGAGGTTAAGCTCTCCTTTAAAATTGGTTTGGTTTAGAGCCAAGGCTGAGCTTTGTGGAGAAATATTGAGGATTTTTTACTGGTTTTGTTTTTCTAAAGGCTGTCAAATGACTTGAGGTTATTAGTATTGTGAAGGACATCTAATTTCTTAAAGAAAAAATAATGTCCCTTAGGGAGAAAAACAAGCTCTTAACCATACCAGAAAGGCAAAATACCTGGCAGTTCTACGATTTATTGAAAGCAAAATTCCATTTTAAAGGCATAAAGATGCCTGTCTTTTGTAGACAAGGTTTCTTGAAGACCAACCCTGCTGGCTTTAAAGGTCAGTGCCTTTCAGAGATTGTTTACTGTGTGCATCTTACCAAAGACGGAATACTGGCAGGAAAGAGAAGATAGATACTTAAGGAGCTACACTTCTTGTAGTGAAATTTTAAGCTTTCCTATTAAAAAAACCCTTTAATTCTGTCAGTAGAACATGATATGCAGCAATGCATTTACAAAACCAAGCTTCTGTAGCTGTAGTAACAGTTTATTGTTCTAAGTAATTTCTTAAGAAAAGAAAAGTTTTTAAAAGACCATCTAAATTTGAGTCCTTTGAATTATTTCATGGTGTGTGCTAAAGGCAAAGAAAAATGTTCAAGTAAATGTGCATTTTCACCAAAATGTGTTATAAATTTGCACACAAAAGACGACTTTTAAGGGTAAGTTATAGCTAAAAGCAGCACAACAAAAACTAGTCTAGACATTTGTCTACATCTCTCTTTTAAAAAAAAAATAATGGAGTGAAGACGACTTGTAAAGCATCAATAATATACTGGAAAAGACTAAATTACTGCACAGCACTAGTATGTTGTATCTTACATTAAGGCCTGTTCCTGTAAATTCTTCTCTTTCTCCTATGAGATGAGGCCATGGCGAAAAAAGTAAATATTCTCCATTAAAAAATTAAGTTATGTCATCCAACTGGTTTTAAGGGTGTACATGCAAAAAGTCTTTTTGCTGTTAAAAACTCTTAATATCCAGTTATTATTTCCATGGGAAATAATTTTCCTCATCTATCCCTAGTATGATGCTGGTTTCCTTTTGCCAGGTGAGTATATACAATGCTCTTGTTTGACACGCGGTTCAGTCTGGGACAGGAAAGCTGTATGTTCTTCCCTCTCTTATTTCTGTTATTTGGCAGAGTCACTGCTAGCCTATATGTGTTAGAAACAAAAAAACCTCCAGGGCAGTATCTTTGTGTCTTTAGAAAGGAAAATTTCCTTTGAATGTTTAATAGCATTCCAAATTAATGTACCCATTTCCTGTGTCTTTATGCACAGAAATTCAATAACTTTATTTTTCCTTTTTCTTTTTTTTACTCTCTTCCCATTCTTCCTGATAAATTCAGATATTTAAAAACTGAGATTCTGTCCTCAAAAGGAGAATGACTTACTGTCGTGTCTTACATTAGCTGTAAAAGATTTTATTGTTTGCAAGTGAAATAAAGACTAGATACTTGGTGACATCTGTTTCACTGGAGTTTTAAGTGATGGCATTTACATACTCCATTTTGAGTTTCCTTATGCCAACTGGTTACTGTTTCTGGTATAAATAGCCAATGCATGAGGCTTATCGTGTGTGTGATACAAGATTATGATTGTCATATGAAGCTTCTTACCTGTAGGAAACACTTTCTCAGTGAAATGACTGAAGCGAGTAGGTTATCTGTATAGAGCACTGTAGTGACAAGATAGCTTTTTATCCTCTTCAAAAATACAGAATTTTGAGTTCATCAGTTTTCTTTTAAGATACAAGAATATGAAAATGGCCAAGAAATTAAAATAATTGATAAGATTTGAATAAAAGAAATATAACTTCATTAGCAAGAGCTGCCTAATCTTGATTTTTGTTGGAGTAATTTTGAATGAAATATCTCTGAGGTTGCAAATAGTTGCATAGTAGAACTCATGGATAAATTTTGTCAAAATATATCTTAGCAAACACTTGGAACATAGGTCTTACAAAGGCTGTCCACCAAGGAGTGAAATTCTGTAAGCTGGATCGGAAGTCCACTTTTTTGTAGAAGAGACTAAAGGACATGGAGGTCTTTTGGTAGATGTAGTGATAAGCTGTTTTTATCTTGTGCAAAATGCAGCTTTTTCTTTGGAAGTAAAATACGCTCTCTTTCGAAAGTTTTAATGAAAAATCTGCGAGTCGAAAGGTACGTTATGAAGCTGACTATAAAATTACTCTTTTTAGTAATAACTGCAAAATCATTGCTACGTAGTTGTTGAATAAGCCAAGTTCCTAGTAAGACTGCAGTGTGAACACACAAAACCAAATGAATATGAACATTCCCTGAGTTCATCACAGGGTGATAGAATAATTCAGGTTAGAAGAGACCTTAGGAGGTCTCTAGTACAACCTCCTGCTCAAAATGGGGTCAGCTCAGTGATCAGACCGGGTTGCTCCGTGCTTTATCCTGTCAGGTCTTGAAGACCTCCATGGATGGAGACTGCTCAGCTTCTCCATGCAGCTTGTTCCACTGCTTGACTGTCCTCATGGTGAAGAAGTTTTGCCTTATATCCAGTCTGTGCATCTTTCGTTTCTCTTTTTTTTCCTCCCTAAGCATAGAATTTGTTTTTAATTTCTTGGAATATTTTTCCATCACTTCATGTTGCTTCACAAAACGCTTGCTTCAGGCTTCTGTGCTAGGACACCAGAGAAATCAGAGCTCCTGTTGGGGAAACTTGATGCCTAGGTTATGTATTGGAGGCACTATCTGTCTGCAGCCATAAGGTGTGTTTGCTATGTGGGAAATCAGATCTGAACTAGCTTTTTCTAATTAAAACTGGTAACAGTGGAACTGCAATGGCATGTTCTTCAGTGCAGACTGTACTGTTTTTGAGGACCAGGAGTCTTTGCACTAGTATTTATTGGCCTTGGTGATTGGGCTCATCAAGGATGCCTGTAGTAGCTGCATAAAAATTAAATAGGAAGTGTACAGTTTCTGCCAGTAGATGCCCACTTTCAGGTCTGTCTTTTCAAACTACACGTTCAATGAAATAAGGTGGGATTAAAGGAAAAACCTGTTGTTCATAGCTTGCATGTGTTCTAATTACCTTAAATGTGTTTTCTCCAGTTTGTTCAGCATCGTTTTTGTTCTGAATTTGACTATTCATATTTTTCTATCCAAATCTAAAGTAAAAGTGTAACTGTTTTTTTTGCAGAATGCCTATAATGCTGCGTAGCTCCAATTGTGTTCTTACTGGGAAAACTCCAGCAGAATTTGCCAAACTTAACGAATGTCCTTTAGATCCAGGTACATTTGCACTCATGTTCTTTTTTCCCATCTGTGCTTTTAGTTTTAAATCTTTTTCGGCAAAGAAATACCCCATTGGTACGGTTCCTGCCACTGTGAAGTCATTGTGGGAACTTCTCAAGTGTATGCTTGTAACTAAAAGAAGTCAGCAGGCTTTTGAAAATAGTAAGAAATGGTTGACAGCATGGAATATTTGTATTTGCAGATGGAGTTTTCAACCACAAAAACAATACACCAAAACTTTGAAAAAGTTGAGAAGTGTATATAGTATTGTACAGTGATGTGTTGTATGGGAACAGAGATGGAGTTCGTTGATGAAAATGAAGTCGATCAGGGAGAGTGGAGTAAAATGGTGTCCTCCAGAAGGGGAACTCTTATTTGCTGCCTTTTATAGAGCAAGAATGAAGTGTTACATTATAATATTTGAAATGTAGAGAGGAGATGAAGGGTTATAACAAGCAACTTTTTTGGGTTTTACCTGCTGCCTTTGAAGCATGCACTGGACATGTACTGTGCTTGCCTGTGATGGCAAGATACAGTGACATGACATGCTGTGCTGGAGGACCATTAATAGATAGCTACAATTTAAGAGAGGAATCTAACATGGCTCATGGGCAGATTCCTTATATTGTCTTAGATACAACAAGGGCATTAAAATACATTTTTAAAGTAATACAAAAGAAATTTCTCCCTGGAGTGCTGGAGAGAGCAAGTCAGTAATTATGGAAGACTTATTCTCTTTGTTTGATACCAAGCATCTGAAATGGCCAGTTCTTTTTTGATGTCCTTATGATATACTGTTCTCACAGGCAATATTTTTACCTAATTTGTAGAACTAACAATTCTATAACATCTTTTAATAAGTGTGGTTACCTTACAGGTTTGGGTTTTTTTACAGCTTTGCAGTTTTTGGTCTGCCTGTGAGTTCTTGCTGTCTGAGTACTTCCCAAATAAAGTCTTAGATCCCAATACTATGTGTGAGCCTAGCAAAAGTTCTGTTTAGTCTAGTGGAACATTTTCGTAGTTATTATAGGTTCCAATAGAGTCTGTTCTTTACTCTTTTAAGGGAGAATTTACTGTCCTGTTTTGTCCTTTGTGTACTTACTGTTTACTTTCTAATAATTTATATTCAAAGGAATATCGAAGGAGGTAACTAAGGCACAAGGGTACTGACATGCAAAGTCTTTCTTTTCTTTTGAATAGGTGGCTATTTCATTGTTAAAGGTGTAGAGAAAGTCATTCTTATTCAAGAGCAGTTATCCAAAAACAGAATCATTGTGGAAGCTGATAGAAAAGGCACAGTTGGCGCTTCTGTTACCAGGTATGGTAAATGCCTGCAATTGCGTAACGGAGATAAATCCAAAGCTTTAGAAGTTCATTGTTGTAGTTGAAGTAGCTGTGTGGTTTTCTTTCTAGTATAGTTTAATGGGAAAAAACTGTAGACATTCAATGCCCCTCTCTTGCTACTGTCATTTTGTACACTAAAACATCAATCCCAAAATCAGTTAGTACAGTACTCCTACAAAAATCAGTGGGAGTTGCTCATATGCTTCAGGATTCATCCCAGACTAGGAAAAGCAAGTTCTAATTTTTAACATAACAAAGTGCAATTTCTAATTGATGGTGTTTGGTCTCATTTTGCAGCAAGTAACATGAAGTTACTGCAGTGGAAATTGGATGTAACCTTTTGTTTGACTCTCTAAATCAAATTGGAGCAAAAACTTCTAAAAGCTGTTGAGAAGGAAACAAAAATCAAATATTTTTGTATTACACAAATTATTGAAAATGGCAAGGTAGTCTAAACTTGGCCTTTCCTCCTTGACTGAGTTTTATTTATATTTTGTTTACCTTTTGGTTTTGTTTTAAGTTGCATGCTGGTATAATATGGTGCTTGTCACTGTTCAGTGTGAGGGCTGTTTTTTCTCCTCCAGAGGCCTCTCACACATCTCTCCTAGCTCCTTTACTGTTCTACAGTAAGCCTAGATGAGGTTAAACGTACAACACAAAGTACTGTTATCTCATTACTGTTGTTGCCGCAGTACTTGTGCACAATTTGACCTTGCTGGTTACATCCAAGTTGATGATAAAAGCATGCAAAGATGATTTTGAAAAGTACAGGCTTCTACTTGCTTAAGTCAAATATTGACCTTTCCTATCACAGGTGATAATACCCTATTACCTTGGAGTTACAGGATGATGTCTGGCTGTTTTAATGTGATTTTTCAAAGAGGAGAAAGTGGGATTAATTCAGCTGAAAGATTGCTCAAGCTTGATAAGTTTTATACAGAAGATTCTAGGCGCGTCAGTGCAAACTTTCTGTTGGACATAATATATATTTTTTTTACTTCAGTTCCACTCATGAGAAGAAGAGCAGGACAAATATGGTTGTGAAACAAGGAAGATTTTACCTGAGGCACAACACTCTGTCAGAAGATATTCCCATTGCTATCATATTTAAGGTAATACAACTGTTGGTTTGGAAAAAAGAAAGAAAAAGAAAAAAAAAAAGCTGTGCTGTAGCTCAAGAATGAAGATTGGCAGCAACTCGCAGAAGTTGATACGTACAGAGGGGCTTGGCAGGTCTTAGAGAATGCAGGCTTTTTTCCCCTGGGAAGTTATCCTTATTGTACAGCAAAAAGGAGAAAAAGTGCTGCATTTGTCTGCAAGGAGAGCATTGCTGTGCCAAGACAAATGCCTGCTACCCCCTTACTGCTCTGTAAGGTCCCTCTGCACTGCTGCCTGTGCTCCTGTTGCTACAGAAAGTCAGAAGAGTTTTGGTTTCTTTTGTTGTGAGCTATGTTGCAAACTTGTGTTAAGAGCCTTTGTTTCTGGTTTTGGTCCCCCTGCCCTCACCTCCAGCTTGCGGACTGCTGAGTAGCTCAACAGCCTTTGTTTCAGATCTGGGGACATGACATAGCCATGAGCTTGTTATACATGACTTCCAGTCATAACCTTAAACAAAACTGATAGCCTTTGGGGAAGTCTTGCAATTCTTAGACCTATTCCTAAATCCTTTAAGATTACTAGAGTGGCTTGCATTTCTTGGCAGTTTACTTCCTTCCCCTGTGAATGAGCTCTGCCTCAGTTAGAATACTTCGGAATCCCTGCCTGATTCAGGAACACTCACCAGTGTCTTCAGTGCAGTGAATGCATGGACAGGCATTGTAGCTTTGAGGCGATCTCCAGTGGGACTGACAAAGGGCTGTGAGAGCCATCCACCCCTGATTCTGGGCAAGAATTGGGGAGTATTTGCTCTGCCAGCTGAGCTGGTGACAGTGTCATGCCTTGGCCGTCATTGCCTGTGAAACTGCCAGAACTGCTTTCTTTCGCCCTCTGCTTCTCTCTTTCATTTTAATTCACTCAAAAAGCTGAAGGCATAACGATGACTACTCCCTAGCTGCCCAACAGGACTGGAAGCAGGCTGGCAGCCCATCTGTCTGTGGTATGGAATGCATGAGCTACAGCCAGTAAAGGTGGTGGGTGGATATGCACTGTCCAGCTGCTGGAGAAGACAGCAGGGCACAGCCAGGCCTTAGGCTAGGACCTGTCCTCCCAACAGCTGGTAGCTCCTTCCTAGGAGCTTCGCTGCTGCCTGTAGGTTTGTAGCCTGGTGCAGTGCACGTGCTGAAGGAAACTGGGCAGCAGTCTTGGAGGCACTGTTCACAGGGAAGGCGGCTTAGGGCACAAAAATGCCTCTGACTGGATCTAACAACCAATAGAAGTAAATCCTATAGCTCCCTTTTAGTCTTCACTGTAGCGGTTTACAGCACAGATGGTTTGGGGAGGTGGTAATCGCTGGAGAAAATAAATTGCCAGGAGAGGGCAGCACTTGCTCACAGCATCCAAACAGTTTCTGCCAGCAGCGCTGATTTGTTGGTGTTGGCAACTCCAGACTTTTCTGTATTACCACAGCTCTTTGGCTGATTGAGAGTTGTAAGAATCAGTTTTCTTGTAGGAAGTGCTTTGGGTTTGGTACTAGAAAATAGTTTAATTATTGGATTTAGACTTGAGAAACAAATCTCTGATTAAGCTAATCTCTTCAAGTAGTTGAAGGAGATCATGTGGTTTTAGTGACCAATGTTAAAGGAGGTTGAGAAATTATTTGTGGACAGAAATGTACAAAAAAGTGTCAGGATTAAGTTAACAACTTTTCTGTTGCAGGAAAGTGTTAATGTGGCTCTTAATCCATTTGCTCAAGTACCAAACAGCTGGATTCCATCTTCATTTACAGACTTTTATTACATTTTGTCACCCCCTACTGGTATAGATAAATACCTGCTCACAGAAGAGTAACTGCTCTGGGTTATTAAGTCTGAGGAGGTGGTTGTTGGGGGTTTTTTAAGCAGCATTGTACTGACTATTTGATCACCTTCTGACAATGCTTGCTATAATTATCCCCCTGCCTATTTGTATCTTTTATATTCTAGACAATGTTGCATAATTTTTCATTTATTCATTGAATAAGGGGTTACAGTTGTTAGAAGCTCTTAGCCATAGTGCTTTTCAAAGATTTATATTGATTTAATCCAGTAGCAAATTAGCTGTACCCACTTTAACTATTCTGAGTGTTCCATTCTTGACTGGCACTTAACTGTACTCATGAGTGATCATTTTGCTTACCTTTCCTTTAATGACGTAAACTTCAGGGATCTACTGTCTACTTTTGATGAGTCTCTAGCTGGAAACTAAAAATCCCAGATAGTCTTTTCAATGGATTCTTAGGCATGCACCAGCCTCTGATGTTTCTTTCTTGGGCATCGCTGTATAGAAGCAAGGTTACAAATGCTATAGCCCTGAAACTGGAAAATCCCTAACTTGGGGATCCCCGTGTAGCCTCAGCTCTCCCACATGGCAGTATTATACATAGGAGGTTTGTTGGAAAAGCAAGGAGAATAATTCCTTTCTGCTGAGACCCAAGCCTTGGGCATGGAGCATGGGTCTTCCTCATTACTAGTAAGTGTTCTGCTTCTTGTAATGTAGAGATAACACATCTGCAAGGGGCAAGGTTAAGCTGTACAGACAATCTAAGGTCTGAAGTTTTGGTTGCCTTTGCATCCTTAACTTTTACTGTAGCAACTGCTTGTATAATTTTCAATTAAAAAATAAACTGAGAAAGCAATGACAAAAATCTGTTGCTCTACATTTCCTCCCAGACCAGCATCCAGGCTGCAACCAAGTTCCACAGACCTCTGTGTTTTGACTAAGAAAATCACTAGTAATTGGTAGAGGGCTGCTATCCAGTGCATGGGCCAGCTAGAGGGGACAGTTTTGTCAGGGACTACCTGAGAGTCAGAGGGAGAAGGTTGGGCAATTTTGGATTGTCTTTCTAGTCCCAATAGCTTTAAATGGTCCACTGTTCCTGCAAATGACTTAAGATGTAGATCAGGTATGGAAAATCATGGTAACTTCATAGAAAAGAAAGCAAGTATTGGAGATCTATGATCTAATGTGGATTTAAAGCTACTGCAACTGTAAAGTGGAGGTGTATTAATATCCCTTAGACATCTTTGTCAAAAGCAAGGGCTGTGAAGTAGAGAGCATTACAGACACCACCCGCTGACAGAGCTGAGGCCTAAAATTCATAAAGAGCTCCCTTTAACTAGAATCTAAGAGCACTTTCGTGTTTCAGGCATGAGTTGTGGACACGTCTTAGCTGCATGCTAGGGCAAGACTGGAACCTACAGTATTCCCTATCTTTTCTTTTCTCTCATGGTGAGGAAAGAAACCCAGGCGCATGGACTGTGTGGAGGGGTGGAAATAGTGTGGATTTAAAGGTCCCTTGATCTGGATAGGTGGGGGGACTGGACTGTGTAGGGTCACCCTAAAGGGGGCATCTGCCTTGCAGTTCATCCTTATCCATAGTCTCTTCTAAACTGCAAGCCTGAATGACCTTGTTCTGCTCCTTTGCTTTTCTGCCATCCAGACCTGTAAGGATCTTTGTGATTGGCATATTCGGAGATTTAACAGCTAGTTGTGCCGAACACATGTAAGTTGTGGTTTTGTGAAGTTTAGCACATTGACCACAGCTAACTGAAATTTGATAGGCTACAAAAGGCATGGTCCTGGCACTATTCTAGGACAGACTTGAAGTGTCTGCTCTTCAGATGCAGGGGAGGGGGAGTTAGTGCTTTGTTGCTGTACTAGCTTAAACACTTTTCCGCTAACCTTTCTTCTTGAAAGTGACAGAAGCATTTGTGCAGCCCCTATATATGTAAACGCAGTTTTTGGTTTGAAGTAGTGATATAAATTGGACAATTTTGCCTCCATGGTATGTATTTGTTGAGGTTTTTAAAGGGCTGTTAACTGCCTTGTAATGGGAAACAGACACAACTAATTTGCTTCCTGCTTACTGTGTGACACCGCTTCATTAGTTAATATACACATGCAACCAGAATGGTATTTAGGACGTCCTGAGTTGACTTGAAACCCCAAGAGACCTTTGTTTTAGCTGTGTGTCAGTTGTGCACAGATCATAGGGCTGTGTGAACCGTGCGTAGTTTTTTGAATATGCCAGGCTATGAGCAACACATGCATTACCTGGGGGGCTCAGAGAGTTTTAGGTAGCAATGAGCATTAGAGGAGGTGTGGAATATTTGTGTAGTACTTAAGGGTGTTTCTGTCCTGAAAAACACCAGGGTTACAGGTGAGGTGGTGCTGCTGCTTTTGCAGGGAGCTCCCTATATTGCAGGGAGTTAGTGCTGTTTTAAGGTGAGGGCTATATTTCTTTTGGGTTTCTGATCTGATCGGTGGACTCAAGTGAGTCCTGGGAGCTTAGGTAAATGAAGGTTGCATGCTGCACCAAAACTGGTTGGGGAAGGAAGAGAATTATAAGTAACCTAGGGGGACTTAAAAGTTGACTTTTACGACTTGAATCGCTAGGTGAAGTATCTTTAGTTTATGTGGGAGCTGTAAGGAGCTGCTCTAGGACCTGTGGCAAAAGATTTGAGCAGGAGGTCGAGTTTCATTTTTACAAAACTGTATTAGTCTTGGAGCTGTTAAGATGCAACTCTAGAGTAACAGCTGAATGGTGATCTTACTGGATCTGTAGAATTATGGGTTCCCATGGCTGCAGTTTCATAGCTCGTATCTTTTGAATTATGAAAGCTCCAGACCAATTCTGTCTGTGATGTCAACCTTGAACTTCCCTGACATCTTTTTAATCCAGTCATCTGCCTGTCTCCATTCTGTAATTTAGTCTGATGGACTGCAGAAGTACATTCTAGGGAAGTGCCATGGAAACGCCTAGACATCATCATTAAGACATGAGCAGGGGGAGGAAGAGCTGGGCTCGCAGTCTCTCATGCACACTGTCTCATATGTACGTGTATGCGCACACACGGGCGTGCGCACACACGGGCGTGCACACACACACATGTTGGGCAGCAGGAACCTCCCCAGTCCTAGGAAGCGGTTGATCCTAGCTGGATCACTTTCTCCCACTTGAACTCAGGATGATCTGAATACTCTGAATGTTTGCTTTGACTTATCTGTCTTATGTCCATTGACTACTAGCCTTCCAACCATGCTCTTCAACAGCCTGCTACTGTCTCATTCCTCATCCTTTCACTGCTACTATTAAGTTATCCCTTTGCAACGTCTCCTTCCCCTCCACCCCCCCGTAAAATTATCCCTTTGTGACATTGCCTTCCAATCAAAAATAAACAAGACATCTTGTCTCCTGCTTTGCTTTTATGTTAATTCCCTTTCCTTCGGCTTTGTCCTAGGATCATGAGCACTTTAGGCATAGGACCCATTCCTACTTTGCATGTCCTCAGTGTTTCTGTAACACAAGCAACGACCCACGAATATTTTGTTACTATCCTAGGGATGTTACAGGCTAATTCTGGAGTACCTTTTTTTTTTTTTTTTTTTGTGTGTGGAAGTGCAACATCAGGGACAAATTTACTAAAAAAGAAAGTGTTAAGATTACAAATCTATCTGATACCAGCCTGGGCCTGTTGCTTGCCCTGTTAGTGTTGCATGGAGGTGGATTTGTGTGTGCAGCTCTGCCCATGATTGTTGAGAGTACAGAGGAGAATAAATGGGTTTATTTTTAGGCTATTGTATCAGCACATCTTTTTCAGCCATTTGCCTAAGTTTTTTGTCATTACTCATAAATTAATTTCCCCCAATTTGTACTTATCTAACAATACAATATATATTGTTTGGTGGCAGATCCCAGCCTTTTCCACACACAAATTCAGAATTCTCAAGTGAGTTTGCTGCTACAAACTTCAACTAGAAAATAGAATATGTCCTATTCTCATCTTGTTGTCAGACTTTTGATCAGAGAATTCATCAAGTTAGAAGAAATCATCAACCCTCTTTAATTTACTGTGGCTTTCTGTTTTTTAATGGACGAAAGAGCATAGTAAAACTGCAGGGTTTTTTTTCCCCACTTTTTTTGTTCACTTTTTACATGACTCTTGTGATCTGGTTGCCATCCTAAAATTAACCTGGTGGACAGAAATAGGGTGATATCTTACCAGCCTGTATTTGATGTGCTTTAGATGAGTGCATTCCTGGTATATGTGTCTAGGCACAAAGATTCCCTTAATAAAATTTTGTTCTTCTGTAGGCTAAGTGCAATAATTGTATGAATCCAGTTGTGGTTCCTAAACTGGTTTGCTGGTCAGCTATTAAGTCCTAGACACATGGAGAATTACTATTGTGAAGCTTTCATGCTTTTGTAGACTTTCTTATGAATCTGGTTCTCAGGTCATGAGGGATTTTGTTAACTTCTCTGCTGAGGTTTTTTATCTACTGTGTGACCTTATTTAAAAGGTTGAGGAGGCATAATAATATTTGAAAAACAGAGATCTGAACTACAGTGATATCACATGCACAAATTCTGGTTCTGAAAAGAGCCTTGAGATCAGAGAGGTGACTACTTAGTGGGAGCAAACTATGATGAAACACTCTTATCTGGTGGAGTAATTGTGTCTTGATTTGGCACTCAAATCTGCAAAAGACGGTGATATTGTGACCTGTGCTTTGCACTAAAATGGGAATGTTCTCACACTGTTATGGGTGTGTGCTACTTTTGCACTGCTTTTAATTTCTAATAAACCATAAGGTGAAGAGACAGAGTTTTAAGTTAAAGGAACTTCAACCAACCACTTCTTTATTGAAAAAGAAAGAAGAAATGAAAGAAAAAAGAATTTAAAAAGCTGGATACTTCACAATTAGAGCAACGGGGATAGCGTTAGCTAGGTGTTAAGCAAAGTGACACCCAATGAGGGAATAAGAAGGGAAGGTATTTGTGCATTTTTGAGGAAAATGTGACTTTTTGGGACGCTGCCAGTTTTTAATGAGAACCAGAATTCTAGGGTCTACATAGGCCATTATTTACAATGGTCTTTGTGGCAGGCAGTTTGAAGAATAATATGAATGCAAACATAACTTCCTCACAAAGTTCTGAGAAACATATTATAACTCAGCCAGAAGAGGTTTAGTGAGATTATTCCATTTCTTGATATGGCAGAGCTCCAGGCAAATGTGTGAAGGGGGGAGCTTTAGCACCATCTGGAATCCACAAAGGCCTTCACTGCTGGCTGCCACCTTGAAACACTTACTGATAGATTTTTTCTAAACTTGTTAAGCGCTTTCTTAGTTTATTAAGCTTTTTCCGCAGTATAAAGTCTAACAAGGTGTCCAAGGATCAGTGAAATAATAGAATGGCTTTCAAGTGGAATTGTGTAGTGAAGTCATCTTCTAAGGGCAGAAAGCTGCAAAGGAGGTAAATTGTAAACGTTTCTCGAATAGGACGTGCTGCATCACAGTCAACTGAGTTTGTGAAATTGCATGTAGTAAGGAGACCATGTGTAATCTTTTAAGAAATTTCACCTTCATTTATTTATTGTAGATTCTGACGTGGTTTTCATTGTTACACACGTAGGGTTGTTATTACCTGGTATTTATTTTTTTCTTAAGAAAAAACATAGAATTTAACTCCCGTCAGTGAAGAAAAAAAGGCTCTCCAAAAAGTGTGTGTGTGTGTTCCTGCTGCTTATCAAGATTTCCATTTAACGTTCTTCCATAGCTAGGATATGTGCTGCCAGTGCCAGATGGCACACTTTCTTAGAGAAGAACTAGCTCTTGCTTAGTAGTAATGCAGACAAACAATACTAAATTAGCATAAGCAAATGTCAGTGAGTTAACATAAAGCCTGTGCTATTTCTATCTTTTCTTCTTTTCCTAGGCCATGGGTGTTGAGAGTGACCAAGAGATTGTACAAATGATTGGCACAGAGGAACATGTGATGGCTGCATTTGCTCCTAGTCTGGAAGAATGCCAAAAAGCTCAGATTTTTACACAGATGCAGGTGTGTCTTTTCACATGGCCAGAGGCTATAAAAATCTAAAGACGGTGGATATTGACCACTTTGCTGTGTCAGCAATTGACATACACTTCGTGTTTTGAGGTTTGTTTTTTAGGGGTTATTTTAAGCTGAAGGTTTTTAAGGGGGCAGGACTTGTCAAAAGTGAGGCTTTGCTCTCATTGCCTAACTGAAAAAACCCAAAGTCAAGAAATGCTTTGTTTTCAGAAGCCCGGGGTTATGTTTTAATGTATGTGACAAGTAGTGATGTCCCTAAGGTTAGGGTTTTTTGTTGAGAACGATGCCCATTTTTTAAAAAGGAATTGCATGCCCCATTGCGCAGAAGCCCCATTGATTTGGACGTGACCATTTCATTGTGAGTAGATGTTCTCCTATTCTAATCTCTTGTATAAAGCCCACAATAATAGCCACCCTCCATCCTGCTAAAGACTCACCAGAATTCTCTTCAGCTCATGTACTTTTTTAATTAGCTAGAACACAGGCCATTTTACTGACAGCATTTCCAACATGTACATATTAATCTGCTAGAAGAAGCTTTTGAAGATTAGTCTTACTTGTAAACTTTATCAAATCTTTCCATGTGCGATGTTGAGTGTTGTAAAGTGAACATCTTTCTAGTTTGCATCTTTTGGGGCTTCTCAGGGTTAGAGGTAGCATGAAGGCCTCCCTAATTCAGAGTCAGAAGAGTAAAATGGTGATGCTGGAGGAACATAGAGAAATGTGAAGCATCCAGGAAAATAGGAAAGCAAAATACAGAAGTTACTCTGTGCGAAAAATGTCAAATGAAAAGAAAAGTGAGCTATTTGGGGAAGAAGGTAACAGATGGAAAGGATAGTCTGTCATTTAGTGGAGAGAGTAACTCTTTGGCATAGGGGGCATGGCTTCATTTCCAGGCAGGAACTTCCTGTGTGGACCTGGATAGTTTCTTTGACTCATCTGATCCTGAGTTCTGCAGATGAATTCAATTTCTTGGACAACTAGTAAGAGAGTAAGAATCCATTAATCATTGCAGGGTACTCTTGGAGACAGATGTGGATGCCACACAGTAGCATTTGTGCCTATTAAACAGTGAGTGCCACTCACGGTTTAATATCTGAGTGAAACTTAGCAAGTACACAAAAGAACTGGAGGTAAAAAGTCAAATTAAATAAACTAGATATCTTGGGAATGTATGTAATTCTTTTTCCTATAACTCTGCAATCCCCTTTCTTTTAATATTGTAGTAATCATGCTCTTTCACCACTTCCCATTCCAAATGTTATCAACATACAATAAACAACATGTTGTATATTTAATTATGATCAATTGTTTCAATTTTCAAGAATTTCTTTTTATTAGCATCACTTATGTGTTTGGTATTTTGCACTTTGCTTGGAGTTTGTATCATCTGTGGCTAGTGGGTTGCACTGACTGAGGAATACATACAGATCTCCATGTGTGTGTATATTTGTATAGGTTACAATTCTGATATTAACTCAAGTTAATTCCCGCCCTTGACAGGCATTGAAGTACATTGGAAACAAAGTACGAAGGCAAAGGATGTGGGGAGGCCCAAAGAAAACAAAGATGGAAGAAGCACGAGAGCTGCTAGCATCAACTATTCTGACCCACGTTCTTGTATTTAATGTTTTTTTTTTTTTACACTGGAGTAAATTTGTGTGGTTATTTGTGGTGTGAGCTTTGTTGGCAGGGAAAAATGTCTTTCATTGCTTTGTAGCTGAGATAAAGTAAATCATCCTCAAAATAAAGGGGAAGATTTGGATTGAGTCAAAAGTAATCTTTATGTTTATGAAATGCTGTACCATTGAACTACTTATCCTATTATGCATTTTTTCTGCATAGCCAGGCAGTATCAGCTGTTAGTTCAGGACCTTATTCTCATGACCTATCCCTTTATTCTGATTTGTTTTCATTTACTATCTGTTTCAATGTCAGTAATGTATATTACTTTTAGCATGTTTTAAGAAGGTAAAGTGCACAAATGCTTTTTGTAACTCCTCAGTCAGCCCAGATTACCCATTGATTTAAATGGATGTATTTGTCTGAATAAGAACTAAGGAACTGATCCTGAAACATCAGTACGGGGTTTTTTTTGTTTGTTTGATTGATTTTTTTTTTTTTTTTTAATTACAGGTGAAGGAATTCAATTTTCGTGCCAAGTGCATATACACAGCTGTGATGGTGCGCAGAGTAATTTTGGCTCAAGGAGAAAATAAAGTAGATGACAGAGACTACTATGGAAATAAACGTTTGGAGTTGGCAGGGCAGGTGAGTTTTTACTTCAGAGCAAAGTGCTCTTTTGGGGTTTTGTTAGTACCTGCTTTTAAAAGATGCAGAATAAGGAACATCCCTGTCTTCTCGATAGAAGACGACTCTTGGACTCGGTGATCTTAGAGATCTTTTCCAACCTTAATAATTCTAAGTGTTTTTCCTCTCATTTTATTTTTGTTGGCTTTTCTGTGTTGACTCATAGATATGCTTCCCTGATTGAGACTAATAAATTATATCCACACTTCTGTATTGCCTCTTTATACCAGATAAAAGGACAGAGCAGTGTAAATATGGCGTCAGTTCTAGTTCCATTATAACACTGTTAGTGCCAAAAAGGCAGCAGTAAGATCCATCTTTCAGTGTCCCCATCTAAGCAGCTGGGTAAGGGGATAAACTGGGACCAAGTAGGTGCCTGCTTGTCAGGTCCAGGCTGTCCCACTGTGGAGAACCCAGTTTGTGTAGCAGCTCACAGAACAGCCACTCAAGCCTGCTGTAATTTGGAGAAGCCCATAAGATCGCTTATCTGTTGCCAACTGCCTTTCTAGCCTCTAGAGTAGCATGAATTAACAAAGTAAGTGGTTTAAAGTTAACTTGAGCAGCTAATGAAAGTGGATTGTGTGGATTTCTCTGCTTGCAGAATTTTGGCACTGGAGGTAGAAGCAGTAACAAAGGGCTGTGAAGGAGGGAATGGTTTGAGGTGTCTGACTGGCACCGCTCTTTGGCAGAGAGGGTGGCAGTTCACAGCTATTGGCCAAACTATGTTCTCCTAATGCAGTGGGAATTTGCCTATCAGGTGAAGGAACTGCTTAGTTTCCGTGGCTTGGATTTTTCCTTGCCATGTGTGGTTATTTGATTAACCAATTTAGATTAGGATTGGACTTCTTTGCTGTGCTCTGTATTAACTTAAGTTGGAGTTTTGGCAGTCAGTATCATCTCTGGTTATTGATCATACATCAGAAATTCAGACAACTATATGTAATGCATAGGTTGGAGAAACTATGCATCTCTGCTCCCCACATCATTTGTATGGGGATTTCTGTTGCAGCGCAAGTAACAATATCTGTTCCTTTTTGTTTGTATCCAGTGGGAATTCTCATCTTACTGTATTTTTTTAAGATGTGTGCTTGCATATTGTCTCGTACTCCTATTCTCCTTCCCACCCTGCTCTCTCCTCCATGCACACATGTGAACACACACACAGAGCGCGCAATCATTTCAGAGTAAAAACATGTGCTTTGCTTCCTAGTTTTCTAGAAGAAACTTAGAAGACACTAAAATGACACTCTTGAACACACTCTAAGCACAAACACAAGGAAAAAAAACCTCTTAACCTGTTAGGAAAAAAAAATTCTTTCTTTAAATTAGTATGTTGACTGTTCATCAAACTTTTACCCTTGTGCTGAAGCAGAACATATTTCTAAAGTTTGGTTTCTGCTGTAATGTTGTTGCTGTAGTTCAGTATGACTGTAATCAGTAAAATTAGTTGTTGCTATGTCATCGTATTGTTCTTATTTAACTGGATTGAAGGAGTAGTTTGTTTTTTCCTAATATTTTTAGAGGCAGAAAGTAGAGCAGGTAAAAGGTTTTCTACAAGCTGTAAGAAAAAGGCCTCTGCTCACACATACATTAACTACCAAAGTCGTTTTAAATTAACTGGGAAGAGGTTTTAACTGTAGAGGATCATCATAACAAAGCCAATGTGTATTTTTTCTACATCAAGGAGAACTATGCAGGAGGGGTTGTAACACTTGATTAAGAGTAGTTCTGGCTCCCTTGTGATATTTTAAAAGCTCATGTCAAGCGGAACACTTGAATTCCTCTCTGGTGTTATATTGATTTGATTGGATTATAGACTAAAAAGTGTAGAGATTTTTTGCCAGTTTCTAAATGTTTGTGTTTAGCTAAAGTTTGCATGGATAAAATGGTTGGTGGTTTTTTCTTAATGCCAGCATGTTCCTGGAATAAAAATCCTGTTGATTTAAAATTTGAATAAAGAAAAAAAAAGAAAAGATTCCCACATGAGGAGAAAAACATAGCGGTCTAAACAATGTAAAGACATAAAAGGCATTGTGTTTATAAAAATGTGTGAAAACAATAGCTGCTAATTTCACACCCCATGGGACAAGAGAGCACGAAATGTGCTTTAGCTTTAGATAACAGAGTTGTATCCACTAGCCAAGCTGGTTTACAGAGCTTTCTCTTAGTCTTTCTGCCACTAGAGGCTTGGTAGGCCAGGTGCCAGCTGAGGTGTTAGCAAAACCTACCGATTTCAGGCTTAATCTTTTCACCTACCTTTTCTCTTTCCTTAATGTGTTCATTATTTGCTAAGCATTACTCTGTTCTTTGTCCTCATTTTTTTTTGTTTCTAATGCAGCTTGCTTTGTATGGGTGAGATATGGAACAGCACCAAAATCCGGCACCCTGGAAAGCAAGGGATTTCTACCCTGTGACAAAAGAATACCGCCTTGACTTCAGAGATTGCCTAATCCCAGCTGTTCTGATAATATAATTAAGGCTGCCTAATGTCTTTAATTTTGCAACCAGTTTGTGTGAAAGGGAGAATTTGGCACTCTAAAGGCTTAAACGCTAAATAGCAATCTCAAGGCGCCTAATTAGAATTCTCTGACATTAAGCTAATTGGTGAAACTGTATTTCAGCAGCTTAACTTCTTTATTAATTTTTCTTAGGATTTTCAATGAAAATCAATTGATGAGCTGTCAGTATTTTTTTTTTTTCTTAAATATAATTTGCTTTTTAGTGCTCCTGTCTGAAGCGGGCTGAAAGACCCTGGACTAACTGTGAAATCCATTGAATATTATCATTGGCAATCCATCCTTTTTCTTTAATCTCTTGCTCTTGACCTAAATAATGTGGTTATTGTGAGATTCTGCTTTGCCAGATAGTCAGAGCTCTTACAGACTGAGAGTCTGTGAGTGAAATTAGCAAAGTATGGTGCTTTTCAGACTGGCAAATAGTAGCCAGTTGGTGTACTTGGGGTGTAACTTACTTTATTAGTTCAGAGAAGAGGAAGGATGGCGTGGGTTTATAGCCTCTGTGGCGCGTGGAATTAGGAGATTTTTGCAATTTTATGATCAAGAAATCAAATATGAAAACATTTTCTGAGTGAATTTTTTTAAATGTTTAAATGTTTAAATGTTAAATGTTTTGTTAAATGTTTAAGTCCTGCTCAAACCTGTTGAGCATCAAATGTATACCATGATTGATTTCAAAAGAGTCTACTTCTTATTTGGCAAGATTATCAGACATCTTAAAACTGTGCACATTTCTTCCTTTTACTTTTTCCCTACTTTTGAAATACTTCCCTCATAATCTAGTTTTTGGAGACTCCAGTGGATTCTCCATCCTAATATGATGCGTCACAAAGGATGCTTTTATTTCTAATGGAAATCTGATTTAAATGAGCTGTGACATCGCAGGTGAGTTGCAGGTGACTGGATTTCTTTTGACAGTGGTGACAGGGTATCGCCTTGTAAATGTTAATGGTATTACAAGCATCAGGAAGTGAAAGAGGGTCTACAACACCTTCCTCTCATGCCAAGGCCAGGTCTAAAAAAACCCACTTAACCAGATTTCATCAAAAACTCTCTCTCCAGAGTGGAAACAGGATTCCATTTTTGTCAATACAGTGTGTATTATCTCTGGGTTTACAATTTAATGACTGAACACTAAGTGTCCCTTATGTCTTGTAGAGTCGACTGTCAAAGTTAATCCAGTCTTGCTCTCCATGAAGGCCAGTGGGAGCATTTTATTGCAAATTAGATGTCTGTCTTGAGTTTCCAGGTGTTATTTGTTATTTTTTTATTCTTAAATGCATTTCTGATGCTAGTGAAAAGGGTAGCTTATAATTAAGTTAGCTGCTTTACAGTGTGATTTGCCAAATGCTTTGGCCAGCCCAGCTGGGGCATGTAGGTAGAGGAAAGCAAATGAAACCTAGTGGCCCATCCCAGTGATAGAGGAATGAGTGGTTTGCTTTCTTGTTTCCAGAAGATGAGGAAAAGTTGGGACTATGTCTGATGGAGACAGTTAAAATTCAGTTTAATTCTGCACATACAGAAATTAAATTGTACAACTGACTCCAGAATGTCTTATCTTGTGGTGGCTGAATACCTAGCTTGTTCAGCCCTACAATGCTTTGTACGCTGGGAACTACCATTTCTGGCACTGGTAGCTGATGCATTTTTAGTTCTTCTGACTCTTGGAGCTGCTGTAAAATAGAGTCCCAGGACAGGACTGCCAGGCTTTAGAATTTACACTGCTTGCTTGCAAAGCTAATCATTGTGAACACTTAAAATGTATCATGTAATGCAGATTCAAGTGTTTTGGGAAGCTATTAGTGTCTGCAAGGAGAGTTGAGCAAACTGCAGAAGCAAAGCAGATTGGAGAGTGTCCTGGTTCCGGCTGGGACAGAGCTAACTTTCTTCCCGGTAGCTTGGGGGGTGTGCTGTGTTTTGGTGTGAAAGGAGCGTTGATGGCCCATTGATGCTTTAGCTGTTGCTGGGTGGTGCTTGCACTGCACTGGGGGGGAGCACAGCCGGGGTGGTGGACCAATGGGGTATTCTATACCATGTGACGTCATGCTCAGTATAAAAACCAGGTGTGTGGGGGGGCATGGTGACATGCAGTCGGCGGTCGGTGAGCATTTGCCTTGGCTACTTTGTTTTTTTTTTAATTATTAAACTGTTTTTATCTCAACCCGGAAGCTTTCCTACTTGTGCCCTCCCGATTCTCTCCCCCATCCCACCGGAGGAGGGGGGTGAGTGAGCGGCTGCGTGGGGTCTATTTGCTGGCTGGGATTAAACCACGACAGAGAGCAAAAAAAGTCAGATCACAAACTTTGGTAGCCTTTTCCTTTTATGGCTATTTTAAGAACTAGAAGTAATTTGTATACATATACAGGAAATAATTGGCTTAAATCGCAGCACTTTTGAAGGGTTGTATTGCTGTTTTTTTTTCAATTCAACTGTTACATAGCTTCTTTGCTTAAACTGTAGACTTTTTTTTTTTTAAGGGAGAGATGTGGAAGAGCATTGCACTTGCCAGATAGTGGCACTTCTAGAAAAGGATGGCAGGTGTTGAACCAGGTGGACTCTCTATGGGTGTAATTGGTTTTCCATAGGTTGTGATTGGCAGAAAGTAGCAGGATAAAAGTGTATCTGCATGAGGAAGCTGCCTGCATAACCTGAGATATGTCTTGCTAGCTGTCAAGAGCAGAGGTTGCTTCTGGGCCTCTAAAAAAGTCTTAGTTCTGCTTGTCCAGAATCAATGGTAACTGTGCACCTTTTGTGCTTCAGTGTGGTCTTGCAAACTGTGCACTGCTTCCAAACTCTGTGCTGCTGAGTTGCTTCCCCTAAGGGCCCCTTACAGTCACTTGGGTGTCTCTCTTGTCCATTTTAAGTAGCTCCTGGGAAGGGGCACTTTAAACAGCCTTTTTCACTTTCAATAATAGAATATCTCGAAGTGACTCTTCACTTATTGCTTTACTGCAGTTATTCCATCCAGTATTAGAGCAGAAGCTGGTCTTGGCTCCAAATCTTGTGTGCAGTTCAGGGTTGTACATTTAGGGTATTAAATCTTTAAAAGAGTTTGTGACTTCAGGAAGGAAGAAGTAGATCAGCTGGATTATGATGTAGCAGATTAGGGAAAATAGTTAGTAAATGGATAGCATAGAGGTGGATGGGTATGCTAAGATACGGTGAAGGTAAAGCAAACCAAAAAGGGATAAATGCGTAGGCTTAGACCATTCTTCTACTTAATTTGCATTCTATTATGAGATAATTTCTCTAATATTGCACTTCAATTTAACAAGGCAAAAAACTTGTGAGAAAAATACCATTTGAGGACTTTTTTTTAACTGACAAGAAGTACAAAGGTAGAAATATTAAACATGTGTTTCCCCTCCCCGCCCCCATTTCCCAGACCTGGAGAAGTGTAATTTTTCCCTTAATCCAATTGTTTTGTATTTGCAGCTTCTTTCTCTTCTGTTTGAAGATTTGTTCAAAAAATTTAATTCTGAACTGAAAAAGATTGCTGACCAGGTAATCCCCAAGCAACGTGCAGCTCAGTTTGATGTAGTGAAGCATATGCGTCAAGACCAAATCACCAATGGCATGGTCAATGCCATCTCCACAGTAAGTATTTTTGTTTTCGTTCTAGTATGTAAATAATGAATGATGGAAATGTGTAAATTTTGTTCTGATGACTCTACTATTTTTGGTCGTAAAAGCAAATCTATTTAACATTCTTTATAGATTAAAATTGCAAAACTCTGTCACGGGCAGGGCTTTTGGAATTCACTGAAGAATCATTAATCATCAAACCACTTTTTATTTCACCATTTATTTCAAAGTGATGTTTTAGTGTTTGTGAAGGAATGGTAGAAACAAGCAAATTTAAAATAGCGATCGTGTTTGTACTTATCCAACTTGCTGTCTTCTAGGTTCTACTTGACTATGTGGTTCATGGTATTTTTTATTATCTGGATTTAGCTAGGGTCAGGTTACATCGTATGTCCAAAAGGTGGTTGAAAAACAGCAGGAAAACATCATGAACAGAAGACAACTGAGAGAGGTGGTGGGGAGGGGGCAGGTAGGCAAAAAAAAACCCAGGCTGAATTTTGAGCTCTTTAAGGGCGGTGCCTTTTTATTCATATGCAGTTGATTGAGCAAATTTGCAGCATAGAAATTAGTACTTCTCTGTTAATGATGCTGAACTATTTAACAGGGAAAACTGCCACATGCCATATTATTGCAAAAAAACCCCATAATTAAGCCTTTAAATATTTGTCTTGGTTAGATTTTAGCCTGTGTCTGCTTTCTACTAGAATGGATTTTTTCATTCGTGCCAGTGGATAAGAACAAAAATACAGTTACTAGTTTTGTCTCTTACCTCACACATCTGTAAGAGCAATTTGTGAGATGGTTCCTGAAATCTAGCTACTAGCTTGTAAATGACTTCGAAATCCATGATTTTTTAAGAAATTAGATTAGTCTAAGTATTTTAGTAGCTGGTAAAAATTGTGCAACTTAATTTTTAATCTTTGGAATTCTTGAGAGGGCTTTTCTGCCTAGCATGAAACTGAGGTTTTTCTTCATTTCTTGTAAACAAAATTAACTCCGCAAATTGCATCCAAACCCACCAACAGTCTGTTACTTACAAATCCCAGTATTAAAGCTTATCACTATTTAATTTTATGAGTGCCCCAAATGTAGTTAAATCTCTACAGTGCACGTAACCAAAACAATTGACAGATTTGTTTCTCTAAATGCTAGTGCTTTCTTCTAGTCAGTGCCAGTTTTTCCATTTGGACTGACAGAGATAAATCTGTAAACTATTCAGTACATATTGTAAAGTCTTCCTTCTTCCACTATCTTTGGACTTTTTTTTATTGCCACATAAGCAGTTAAACACCATCTGCTCTTAAGCATTGAAAATAATTTCTCAGGAACAATGCCCAGTGCATACTATTCAAGAGATTAAGCAAATACCATAAAAATCATTCTTGGAAACGACAATCTCCAATCTCACCAGAATGCTTCAATGATAGCTCAAAGAGCATGAGACTATATTCATAATTACACTGGTAGCGTGCAAAAGAATTCGTAGAACTACTGCATCAACTGTACATTTGCTATAGGTCGTCTTTTTACCCTGGAAAATACCAGAAGAGAGGGTAGGTCAGGCAGTAATGCCACAGGCCTAATAGACATTTCTGCTTCTGCAGAATCATCCGATGCTGCTGAGGGAGCAACTTCTCGCAACAGCGCTGGCTCCGTTTTGGGTTTTTTGGACAACTTTTGAAGGAGTCAGTCACTTCCAAAGCACAAAGAATTTTTCATATTTATTCAGGCAGCGTTTTTACCTCCCCTTTTTTCCAGTCTTTGAGATTTCAGAGTCTTCTGGGCAGTGAAGAAGAAACCACATGCTAGTTTAGACTACAGATGCAATCATTTCTAGCATGAGGAAAAACTACTCATTTATTGTGTTCTTCCACTTACATTCTGATACTTCCAGCCCTTAAAGAGTGAAATGGTCAGTGAGTGAACCCTTCCTGAGAAGGTTGAGTGGACAGGTTTCTTTTGACTGACTTACTATTGCGCATTGTGTCTTCCCACTTTCTGTAACAAGGAAAAAAGGGAAGTTCTGCAGACTATTTGATAGTCTCTCCAGTGGAAGCAAATAGCAAAATCATTTGGATGGCTGGTGGTTTCTTGCTGTTCATCACAAAATGGGTTTGTGCTGTTAATGTATAAATAAAGAAGCCAAGCAAATCACTCTCTAAAAGGATTTCAGTGTAGTACAGCAAGCGAGCTTCAAATTATTTGTTAGCATTGGTGAGCTGAGTTTATCAAAAAGGCTACAGTGATTAGCAGAAGGCAATCCTTGGGAAAGCGTTACCTTTGAGATCTTCATTGTCTGACCCGTAACATGGCAGCTGGGTAAATAGTAGTAATTGGGACAGAAATTTGCTGTATCCACTGACTCAGGTGCAGGGAACTGTATATGGAGTAGATGCCATGAAGTAAAAAATTGTAGCACCAAATTTCAAGGTCTTACAGTAGAGATTATTAAATCTGTGTGGCATGGAAACGTAATTGTGGCCTAGAACATTCTCTGAACTCCTCTGTTCTCCTAATTAAAACCACAAGTGGTACTGCCGGTGACAGTCCTGAAACATGAAACCTCTGACATGTGCATGGATCTTGCATTTCATATTTGGTGTAATCCTACCAGAGAAGTTGGATAGACGTAACCCCCACACACTCTTCTTCTGTGAGAAGAGTGAGAAAGAGGCTCACATCAGTGAGTCTTTTTCCTCTGGATTCTAAAAACAAAAGGCTTCAAGCAAGTACAGGCAGCTTTGATGTCAGACTTCTCCAGCATAAATGCCTGTGTTTCCTACAAAAATAACAAATAATGAAAAAGGCAGAACTGAAAGTTCATGAGATCTATTGTAAAAGTGTATTTCCCTCAAAATATCTTCTTTTAAATACTTGAAAAAATCTATAAAGGGAGAACAGAAAATAATTTAATTTAGCTAAATTTGAGTATTGATTTACCTGTGAGGGACAGATGATGAAGAATCTTTGTGTGAATGAATATATAATAGCAAAAGTATCCTCTCATCTGAAAGAGCAGTTCTTTTGTTTCAATTTTTTTTAATACTTAGTACAAGTATGTTGTAACTAGTAGTTTATATGCAGATAGGTAATTAGAAAGTTGTTTTATATAAATGGGCAACATTTCCTGTTGAAAAAAAGACATGTAGTGTCGAGACAGGGATAAACTGCAATAAGTTTTTTGAAACATTCATTTTCTACAGGGAAATTGGTCTCTGAAGAGATTCAAAATGGACCGCCAAGGCGTGACGCAAGTATTGTCCCGCTTGTCTTACATATCTGCTCTGGGAATGATGACTAGAATCTCTTCTCAGTTTGAAAAGACAAGGAAAGTGAGTGGTCCTCGGTCTCTGCAACCATCTCAGTGGGGGATGCTCTGCCCATCTGACACTCCTGAAGGAGAGGTGAGGAACTTCTATTTTGCTTTCAATATTTCTTGTCCTGAGGCATTGGAGACACTGTTTATTTTGAAGCAGGTGATCCTCCATCAGAGGAAGAATTCTGCTGAGGAGGTTTCTGAAGAGATAAATTATCCTCAGCCTGATAACACAACTTGTGTGTCTTCTCACATCCTATATTTTTATATCCTGGTCCTCCTTACTATATTGCCTTTTTTCTCCTACCTGAGTGGACTGGCTGGAAACTCTTCGGAAATCATTTGGCTGTATGAGAATTACATGAGGCCTTCCACTTTTGCAGCAGAGCTACTTGCTGTCTTTTGATCAGAGCAGAAAGAGAGTCCTAAACTCTTATCCCTTTGTTCTGTAATGAATGTTCTGTTTTGAAGTTGCAGTGTCAACCTGCAATTTTTCTAGAGACACATATTATTATTACAGAAACAGCTTTAGCCTTTAGCTTGAGGAAGAAAAACACCTTTGTATGCTTTACTTTAAAGACCTCATCCAGCTATTTCAACCAAACAATTGATGCTGACAGTCTTTTTTTTATTTTTCTTTTTTTCTTTTTTTTTCCTGAATAGAAAGTACTGGGGGAACTCTGAACTTCCTGGCATAAATATCTAGTCAATATGACCTAGTCTCATTAAGCAGCTGAAATAAAATTGCGCTGTATAAGATACTTGGATATTTTTCATTTTACCATGTTAAAGTTTGTGTTAGAACATACAGGATATCTGGTAAATTGATAAATAGACTGATTTTGTATTTCCATTATGCTTCTAAATAGCTGTTGCTTTGAAGAGAGAAATACATGGTTGGATAACTTAAGAACTACAACTTCATCGCCTGTATTTTTTATTAGTTTGTAAATGTTAAAACATTACATTTCAGTGTGATATAGAAAATTCTTCCTTTCTTCCCTCCTAATTTTCAGTGTAGTTAATCTGTTTCATTTCTTTCACTTTATACTTTGACTTTTTTTTTTTGCTGTTCATAAGTACGGTTTTGGAATAAAAAGATATGTATAGTATTAATACTTTGGAATAAAATGGATAAAAGATGTATTTTTTTTATTTTAGGCTTGTGGTTTGGTTAAAAACCTCGCCCTCATGACTCACATTACTACGGATATGGAAGATGGCCCGATTATTAAATTAGCCAGTAATCTCGGAGTTGAAGATGTCAACCTGCTCTGTGGTGAAGAACTTTCATATCCAAATGTGTTCCTTGTTTTCCTTAATGGTATGTAACTTTTCAGCAGTCTGACTCTGATTTGTTGCTGATGGAGAGTTAGGCTTCAGAAACCCTCCAACAATTTTTGGAGCACAGTCAATCACAGATGCCATTTTCCACGTGTAGATAATTTCATCTGTAAATATTTTTGTAAAGTTAGGCAGAATAGACAGGCCAGATGATGGCACTTAGTTGTCTGAAGTTGTGTCCTCAGAACTCTGGCTGCAGATGTATGTAGCTGGGAAGTTGAAGCTTTTTCAAATTTCAGTACTGTTTTTAAGCACACTTGTATTAATAGGCACAAAATTATGTACATTCTATTACAGATTTGTTTGTTTTTTCAGGCATTCATGGAATGAGGTGCTATTCATGAAGTACTTTTAGAAGAGAATAACGCTGCTAAATTTGTAATAAATTTACAAATTCAGACCTTTATTCACAGAAAGTATTTAATGTTACTGTAATCTTTATGTATTTTTATATATATTCATGCAAGTGCCTTTAAAAATAGAAAGGAAACATCAATTGTTTGCAAAGTTTAGCAGTGCTATTCTCTTTAAAACTACCTTTTAAAGGGCAACTTGCTTTGTGAATGATTAGAAAAAATTAGACCTTGGAAAACAGGCCTCTTTTGTCTGTTAAAGGGATGATTTGGCGTATGTGCTTTGCATCTGCACACTTATGTTCCTTTTACAACTGATCTTTTAGCATTTCTAAATCAACAGGTACTATGGTACCAGATTTCAAAACACTAACATGTTAAAAACTACAACTGTGATTTAAAAATAGCCTTTTGTCAACAGCATCCACTTCCAGGGACTAGTATTTAATGCTGTCACCATGAATAAGTTCTCCATTTACCTTTGAATTAAACAGCAGTTGTTCTTCAATCCTGCCTTTTCCCAGTAACATAAAAGCAATACTTGACCAAACTGCATTCCTTTGCTCTGCTTTTCTGTAGCAGTATGTTAAAGATAAGGTTCAGTGAAACCACATGCACTCTTTTCTGTCTCGTTTTATGGTCCAAAGGGGAGTGCAGAGCAGAAATATTGGACTCTTTCTTCACAAGCTCAATCTGTGGTATGGAACAAGATAATTATGTTCCCAAATGTAGATGATCTAGTACTAAGTGAGGCAAAACAATTTACTGTTCAATCTACTAATTTGTGGGTTTAATCCATAAAAAATTTCAGGCTTGTGGGTGGCTGACTTGATTCTGATTTAAACTTGTGACCTAAGAGGGCAGAAAATCTGTTAAGTACAAATCCTTTAAGCTGTAAAGACTTTTGTATTGTCTTATAAATTCCCTAAACTATCATGCTTTGTCTCCTCCTTTAAAGTTTTGTTTAAAATGATACCATACTTATTTTTATTTTATATATTAAGATGACTTTGGTCAGGTGACTCTTTAAATGAATTTTACTCTCTTGTTTGTTCATCATGTATCAGAATACTGAAGTGTGTGCTAAGGTGCCCTGCTAAGATAGCAATAGCTTGTTGAGCTAAGTACCTGAAGGAGGAATTCTGGTGCTGTTGTGAGTGATCACAAGGTCTTTCTAAAATTTCTGACAAGGCAGCAGGACAGTTCCTTAGTCTGTTCTTGAAAACCTGGGGTCCATTTCAGTACAGGTGAAATTGCAGGCTTCAGAAGCATTGTTTGCTTGTACACTAATTGGTGAATGGGCACTTGAGCAGAAACATACTTGAAGAAAGCTGGATGAAGCATACCATTTGGTTTCTGAAGCTATTTGGAGGCGAACAGATAGATGACTTGTGAAATTTTGACACTTTTTTTTATGTTTACTGAGAGAAAAAAAGAGCCAATTCTTATTTATGTCAGAAAAGGGAAATTTTACGACAACTCTAATTATTTGCAAGAAGTAGGAAATACTTTTATGCATGCTAGACGTGATCAGAATTTCTAAGTAGAGTTTTGGATATGCAAAGAATGCACCATGAATTTATTGTCTTTCTGAATAGGTAACATCCTCGGTGTCATACGTGATCATCAGAAATTAGTCAACACGTTTCGGATAATGCGTCGAGCGGGTTATATCAATGAATTTGTTTCCATCTCTACAAATCTTTCTGACAGATGTGTCTACATTTCCTCTGATGGAGGGAGATTGTGCAGGTAAACATCTCGTCAGAATTATCTCACTAGTGAACTTACTATAAACACTGTTTTATGGACTGTAAATACACTGGGCTAAGACTTTCACAAGTACAGATTTAAGCAAATTCAGTAGGACTTGAGCATCTCTTTTCTCCTTAAATAGCCCTCATTCAAAAGAGGCAGATCTGAGAAACATACTATATAGTCAAGCAACTTAAAAAAAAAAAAAGCCCAAATAAATTTGTTTTATCTGTAAACAAAAGTCAAAACAAAATGTTTCTTCTATCTTCTTTTAAAAAAAAAAAAAGGGGGGGGAGGGGAGATTAAAATCAACCTGCTTGGCAACTCTAGTAATGTCCAATGTCCTTGGAGCACTTTTTACGTCCTGTGAAGTAAAAACAAGCAGCCACTTGCCTGATATCCCGTAGGTGTGATATCACGTTTTAGAATGAGAAGTTACTCTTTGTCTTCAAGGGCCTTTACTTCTGGTGCAAAACTTCCTCAGGTGTGTATACCTGTTTGGTATAATACCAAGAAGTATGTCTCTCAGTTTTGGTTTATTTCATCGCTTACCCTTAAGTAGGTAGGGAATTCAATAAACCTATAAGGAAGGTCTCCGCCTTGAAATACTTATGCTCTTTATTAGACAGAAAGAGTGCCTGAATAACAGTCATGTCACAGAGGAAAGCAAAAAGGAATTAGGTGGCTAAAATGAGAAAGAATGGAACATAACAATATTTTGAGATAGAAAATCAGGTTGAGTTATAGTAGAGGCTAGAGACTCCAGTCAGATTATGGTAGCACTGTGCTAGGTTATTTACAAGTAAAACATCTCCAGGCCCAAGTAATTAGCCTGAAGAACAAGGCATAAAAGATGAACAAAGTAGAGATTGAGAGAGGCAGAATCAGTTAATAAATAATGTATATTTTAGCATTCACTAGCTGTGTGCATGTTTTATGCATACTTTAAAGAAGCAGCAGTCACAACTACAGTTGGCATTCCACCTTACTCATTAATTGAATCTCAGAGCATGTTGAATGCAGTTTGAGGCATGCTAGAGGCTCCAAAATAGTACATGTACAAGTGATCAGTTAATCATACCTGATCAAGAGATCCAGAGTAGGGGCATATTCAGTGGCAGAGAAATCACTTTTCCTGTCAGGGCTAATATCGGCCATTCTGCAGTTTTGGAGGTGCAGCAAAACTTCCAATTTGTAAAATAAAGAGAAGTGAAATCATGTGGATTTCCAGGTATTTACCAAGTTTGTTTTGTGGCACCCCCCACCCTTGCAATTGTTCAGATACCCCTATTAACCATTTAAAAGTGCTCGTTAGTCTTCAAACAGTTATTTAGATTTCAGAGTGGACTCCACAAGTATCTCGTAGCTATTTGCTGCTCTTTATAAGAGCAACTTGTCCAAATAGCAACAGCCCTTGACATTTCATTCTTGCATGCCATCCTTTGTGTCAGTGTTTTCTTGCTGCAAGGAAGCCTTCAGAGATCCATGTGCTGTTGAAATTTATGGATTCATCTGAGGTCACCCATAGTAAATGCCTGTACTTTACATTATGTAAGTAACAGCAAAATACATTCTTACATGTGGACACTTGAGCACAAACTGTTTACTCAGTGTTGTATGAAGTCCCTGCAATATCCATGGAACTTAATGCTGTTCTTAGCTTTGTCGTTTGGGAAATCTCAAATCTTTTAAAGCCATCAACAAAATGTGTAGGTAAAACTTATAAAATGTTAAAGATTTAGAGGGTTGGGGAAAAAAAGGCTTCCTTCTCAAAATGGAAATCTTAATTTTGCTTGTACACCTTTTGGGTACTTCATAGACACTATGTCAGTTCAGGATATCTGTGTATCAAACTAAGGTCTGAATAATTACTGATTGTATTTATGTGGCTATATCAGTTAAAGGTGGATAAATTCTAAAAGTGGTTTATAAAATAGATTGTGCGTAGGCAGGGTTCTTACTGTAAGTATAAATTAAGTTACCTGCCTATATATTTGCTATGATAATCCTTTTTTTTTTTTTTTTTTTTTAAATTGTAGACCCTACATAATTGTCAAGAAGCAAAAACCTGCGGTTACAAACAAGCATATGGAAGAGCTGGCTCAGGGATACAGGTACACAATTCAAATAGACCATATTCATCTTCACTAAGTAAAATACCATGTGGAAATACTTCAGTCAGTCAGTATTTCACAATCTTGGGGTTAGCTGTGTAGAGAAGTCTACTCTCCTATATAAAGTAATAATCGGTGTATTGGAGGTTTTCTGTTTAAAGTCAAATTAAGTCTGGTCTTCCTATTTTGTTACTGCTATGAAATTTGGTGATTATACAGAATAAATACATCTCTCAGCCTCATCTTTCTGCAAGTGGAAGGCCTCAGGCAGTATCGTCCTTCTCCTGATTGAAAAATGAAACACTTCAAAGGAATATCAGCTTGACTGCCCTAAACTAGACACATTCAGAATTAGTTCTGAAACTCCTTGCAAATTCCTAGTTTGGGTGTTTAAACAAACACCCAAAACTTACACAAAAGCTTTAACTAAATTTTGCAAAACCATCACAAAAACTTACTAGATTACCCTTATATTTGCCTACATTTATAGTGATGATGAGTACATGCAGGAAGATTTTATTTAGTTGTTCAAACAAGTAACATTGGTCAGTCAGACTGTGTGAAGCAGTGAATGGGCAAGGGGATTAATTTAAAAAAATACAGTTTTCTTTAAATACATAAAATGCACAGAACTTTTCCTGTAAAATATTTCTCTAGTTTAACTTCTACACACTACATTCCTTCAATATGTGTATTATGTAGTTTTATTTTTGCAGAAATATAAGAAAAGACAGTACTTCTAGTGTAATTTTTTAATTTAACTGTAGGAATTTTGAAGATTTCTTGCACGAAGGCCTCGTTGAATATTTGGATGTGAATGAAGAAAATGACTGTAACATTGCACTATATGAACATACAATTAATAAGTAAGTATGCATTCAGACTAAACACTGGTGCAGGAAAAACTTTCATAGGGTGACTCTCTGAAATGCAAGCATATTAATAATGTTACTGTTTTCAGACATACATACTGCTCCCTTGCTAATGGTTGAAACAACTCCAGATGAAAGCTAAAGAAAGAAATCTGTTTACAGATATCCTAAGTTATCCATGGGATAGTTAAAAAAAATGGTTTAGCTTTTGGGTTTCGGGAGATCTGTTCCTGCTTCTAACTCTCAAAAATATGAAATACTTAAAGGTATATCCTTTGTTTCTCTGGATGTGGCTTTTTTTTTGTTCTAATCATTGGGCTGCTCATCATAAGTAATTTTATGCAATAGGAATCCAGAAGGCAAATGGTTCCACGTGTTAAATGATGATCTTAGGACGTCATGATTGTCATTTGGAAAAATCTCTCTCTCTTATGGCTGTAGAGAGACCCTAGACAACCAGCTTACGCTAAATGTCTCAAGTATTGGAATGAGACCTTCCCTTTGACTTTTGTATAACAGGCCCTGATGAAAATGTCTGTATCATTCTGTGTGTTCTTTACTACATATGTTAAACCCATTCCTGGTATGTGATTTTCATTTAGAAAGATTTCCACATTTCTTGTGTTTTCCACATATATGAAGGACCTGGTGCTTTGGTTTTTTTCCTCTGTCTTGTGACTGTGATTAAAGAGCCCATATTAAAGGAAGGATTCTTTTAAATTTTTAAGTCCTCCTATCTTTTTAATTTTTTTTGATGTTTCTCTGACAATATCCTGTCAACTGAAGGCTGCACATAAGATGTTAGAAGTTCTCTCCATGAAATGTTTGATCAGTAGATTTATGCAGAAAATGCATTTTCTAAATGTTCTGTCCTGGTCAAGTACTCATGGAAGCCAATAGAAATACATCATTGATTTCAGTGGAGCTGGATGAGACCTTCAGTTGTCTTTAATCTTTGCCAGATGAAATGCATTAACTCTGCTAATTAAATTGTATTGCTCCTGCCCAGGCTTTTGAAGACTTTATCACTTTAAGAAATTACTCTTGCATGCTCTTGGCTAGCTTCTGTATACATGAGCAAAGAAGAGCATACACAATTGCTGTCATTTGTGCCAAAATTAAATAACTTCCACAAAGCACCAGAGCTGAAAAGTTTAAGTTACTGGACACCTGACTCAGCTAGGAAGATTAATGGGAGCTTGTCACATGAAATCACTGTTTAGTCAAAAATAGGAGGAGACAGTGAACTTGCAATGGACTAGTGTGAGGAAATGACTCCACAATAACTGCCAAAAGTTTGGGAGATTCTTGTGTTTTCCATCAACTTGTTTGAGTTTAGCTTCAATGCTTGTAGCTAATAGTGCCGTAAGTATCTGAGCTTGCACCGTATGAGCACGTTGTTCCTTGTGTTTAGTAATGATACTCTTAACATCCTGAACAGTTGATTTGTGTACCCCTTCCAGCTGATCATCTTGCATTTTAAATGGTGCGACCATGCTGGTACGACTTGTTCTGGTAATACAACTGATTCAATCAACTATTGTGAAGTATCCCATTAACATTCCTATCTTTTAGCTACAGTATCCTCTCTTTACCTTTCCAATCCAATTAGGGGTTTTTTCTTTGGAGGATTTGACTGTATTTAATGCGTTCAATTTCTTCCTTACCCATTTGTAACTCTGATTTTCGAACTTAAAAGGTTGCCTTCCTTTCTTGGGCCGATTTCTGGCAGCGGCATTTTGACTTGCAGAGATCAAACTGCTCTGTAAAGTTTGAAGGTCTCTCATTAGCACTGTGGAATACTTCATAAGATACTAGGATCCGCATATGTTGCATCTTCTTTGGTTGAAATATGATTGACCTCAATGGAAAAATATTTGTGTTGAATACCCTATCTGAAAAGGTATATGTAGATCCATGCACTAGTACCTTCTGAAGAAATTTGCTAACTTCAGTATCAGTAAGTCTTAAACCTCTTGTTTTATTGTTTGAGAAGTGTCAGCAGTTCTGTGAAGTTCTACAGAATGGGGGAGCAGTCTGTGCTTTAAGTTTGCTACTGGCTCTTGAGACCATTTTGCAATTACTTGACTGCAATTGGGATTCTACCATTTGTATTTTCTTAAGACAGGCTTCAATTAACATAGCTGCTTTTTATCAAGTGGAGAAAAATAGTGGCTATTGCCTGGCCAGCAGGTGATTTTTAGGTTGCTCAAGCATATTTGTGATTTATAAAGATTCCTGGGACTGATAGAGAATTTCACTAGGCTTGCTCCTCAGGGTTTCCAGATTTTTTTCAGTTTTCAGATTTCCTTTTTTCCAGTAGTACATACACTGTTTATGTAAGTTTCTGCTGGTCCTTGTCTTCAGTCTGTATGTACTGTGGGTAATTCCTCAGCCTTTTTGAGCTTGTGATGCTTTGCCATCTTTTGAGTTTTGTCATAATGAAGATTTTACCAGTCATTTCCTTTGCAAGGTCTTAAAGTTTAGTAAACAAATTAATTTGTTTAACTATTTTTAAGAAATCTTCCAAAAGACTCCCAAGAGAATTCAAACATTAAAGATGGGATTTTCAGAATTCAGTGGGTTTAGGTGTATGGGAGAAGCAATGTATGCCCAAACCCAAGCTCTGTGTAATAACTCCAGAACATTGTGAAAGATATGCTTTGGATAGGTTTAGTTATAATTATCTTTATTTCAAAATTCCCCATTTCCTAGTTACTTATCTTGATTTAAAAAGTAGATCTGCTCCAGCCAAGCTTTATTGTACACTCCATCCTTAGTTATTAGTCACTCCACTTGCATCCCAGTGCACGCTGTGATTAATTGTCTTTATTGAGCATGGACTTTCTCCTCTGAAGCTCAAGCTAGGTAGAACAAATTTTGCTATCTCTCAGCCTTTACTCCTTGTCCCCGTCCTTTTACTTCTCATCAGTACTGCCTTTTAACAACATGATCACTTCCAAAATATTTGCAGAGCTTTTCAAATACTGTTCTGTTACGCCATTATCACCCATGGCACTGGATCTGGTTTGGACACAGATGTTTTCCCTCTAACTGATATTATATAACTGACCTTGGAAAACTAAAACTTCACTTTTATTTTTTTCAATACCTGAATCTGTCTTACTCTTCCTTCTTCCACCTCCCCAGTGGATTTCTAGATCTCTGAGATTGGTAGTTTGATGCGGAGGACTGTCATTACATGAGAAGACATTCCTTAAGGCATTTTGGGTCTTACTGTATAAACTGATGTTTTATTGTCTTACTGAGCTCCCTCAGGTTGTCGTTATCTGGAATCTTTTTCTCCATGATGGAAATTCATAAACGCTCATTTATTTCTCTTTCATTTCTTTTCATGTGGAAACACTTAAAGCCAAAAGAAAGTTGTTTTTTTTTTTTTTAAAGAAGAAAAATCCCATAGTGAATCCATATTTTGAGGTCCTAATGACTTACATTTTCCTGAACAGAATTGAAGTATTATGAGATACTACTAAATTAAATAAATTCTAGTTAAGATGTTTGTTCACAAGGCTGCTATAATTGGTACTCTTTCTTTTAAGAGATACAACGCATTTGGAGATTGAGCCTTTCACGCTTCTTGGTGTCTGTGCGGGTCTGATTCCATATCCTCACCACAACCAGTCCCCAAGAAACACTTATCAGTGTGCCATGGGGAAACAAGCAATGGGTAAGACTTTTTTTATTCCTTTTTGGAGTGTTACGTAGTTTTTGAAGTTATGTAGCATAAGTGACAAAACAGAGAAATTCTTTCTTTCCTAATTCACATAAAAGCTTTGCTAGGAAAAGGAAAAGAGCACTTCTTTAGCTTTGAGGAAGAAAGAATTTACCTCTGAAAGTTGGAAAAATTAAAAGGTAAAAAATACCAGTCAGTTTTACTTAATGGAGATCATATCTGCAGGTCTTAATACTTAAAAGAAAAATTGGAGAAACTGGGGCACTATTGCTTTTTTGTTGTGTTTTTTTGATAATTGTCATGACTTTCAAGTTTTCAGCATAGCTGCAGGATTGGAAGAGTGGAGGTTTTTTCTCTTTATGCTGTGATGTGCTATGGGTTTCCAGACAAAAAGAGTTAAAAAGTGTTCTCACAAAGAGAGACAGAGCATGGAGAGAGGAGAATTTCCCTGAATAGTTGAGTAGGTGCCCTAAAAATAAATAAATAAATAGTTACATTGACATTAGAAAATAAGAGGAATCAAAATGTGAAAGAGAGTGCTTAGTTACTTGAACACGTCCTACAGCCGAAGTTTAGATTTTGGGCTTTTTCTGTTTTGGGTGAAGAGGGCAAGTAATGGCCTCTCAGCAAAATGACGGAAACAAAATTAATTTCCTGATCACTTAATAATTCTTTTTACAAATGTGGTAGCTGGTCATTAAAAACCGACCATTTTGTAAATTTGCTGTTGTGGGTAATTGACACTAGGTAAGTTCTAATCCTTCCTTTAATACACAGCTAAACTAGCATTAGAGCATCCAAGTCATGGCCCACAATCAAGCCAGAGTGAGTCCCAACAAGAACCTGACCAGTAGTACGTCAGTTCAGACAGCTGTATTCAGACTTGTGCTGTACATGCTAGTTTTATGTCTTGTATTGATGGCTTGCTCGCAAGTTGAGAGCTACAGTAGAACAACTCTGTGGCATGAAAAAACTACCACTTCTGTTAGGTTTACTAAACCATTTGTTTTGTGCTGTGTGTTCGAAACTGAAACACTGCACCTTTTGTGAGACTCTTCAGCAGAATTAATAGCAGAGTAACTGCCTTGTGCTGAACTGTCGTGTTCAGCACATCAAAATAGCCAAAACCAGCAACAGATGCATGTCCTCCTTTTAAATTAAAAAAAAAAAAAAAGGAAAAAAAAAAAAGGAAAAAAAAAAAAGAGGAGCGATGCAATCTTTTTCCTTACAGTTCTCCCCCATCCCATTATCTTTCCCCCACCCCTGAGTCTCTATTTTATGACTATTAGTCTCAGAAGGTTTGGTTAGTTACCACACACAGTTAAGCAGGATCAGTGTGTACAGAAAGCCAATTCAGTATCTGTGGAGTTCTTTTGTAGTTTTCTGTGTGAAGGTTTTTTTCCCGTTTTGTTTTGAGTGTCATTTGCAATTCATTGTCTGTGTTTTCTGAGGTTGGTGTATTCAGCTGCTTTGACCCTAGGTCTTGCACATTTAGCTCCTTGGATACAATCCTCTGACGTTCCTAAAACAAAAGCCATTGAATATCTTAAGCAATAAAAAAAGCCTTTGTTTCGGTTTGTTATGACAAAACACCTGACTCAAAGAATAAGCAGCTAGATAAAAGTACATTTTAAAAGTTGGCACGTGACCTGAGCTATATTTTGCTCTGCCTGAAGTATCTGCAAACACCTGAAGCTTTTTGTAATAACTGCTTAAAAAAAAGCCACTATGAGTGGTAATATGTAAGGGCAGAAAAGATTTTTCTCTACGCTTATTGATCAAATGAGACCTAGAGGATATTCCTGAAACATTAGACATACTTCTTTCTATTTGTATTTATGAAGAGATGTGATATAGTGCTTCGAACTGCCACCTTTAAGTAACCATCTACCCTTCCTGCTTTCTTTCCCCATCCTGAAATTGCAGAGCATTTCCTGGTCCAACATTGCCATGTGGAAAGTCTCATGTCCAAGTCCACTGTGTCACTCCCTTGGCTGTCAAACTGTGGGGGCATGGAGGGAGCCCCGGGGCTCAGACTGGGAAAGGAGGGCCTTGTGCTACTCAACACTGACCCCCTCTGACCACGTTACAGGGCTGTGCCAGCAGCTTTGGACAGTCTTTGCTCTTTTTAAGCAACATCAAGCTAGGGAAGGGTGTGAAAGCACAGGTAAATGGAGGGTGGACATCAGAGCTTGCAATGGGGTCTGTAATCCAGTATCCCTTACAAGTGTTAGTATTAAAATATTTATGTTTCTGCAGGATAACATTAAATGTCCTGAAAAATACCTCCCTTTGATGGGCAGAATGAGTCATCTTGTTGGAGGACTAGGGCTGCACTTAGCAAGCAAACTGGATTTCAGTGAAATGAAATTGAAATGAAATCCCTCTGTTTTGGCATAGATAACTTACCATATGTTGCAGGTTGAACTGTAAGACTGAGGGGAAGTTGTGATTAGGTGGGAAATACAACAGCAGCTGCAAGGACCTCAGTTGAACGTTGACATTTCAGTGCAAAGTTAATAGCTGTAGCTTAAAATCTGAGAAGTATTTAAGACAAGAGTCTGTACTGTTTGCATTCCATGTGTTGCTAAAATAATGTTTAAGAGGATCAAAGGCTCCTACAATTAGAGAAATAATTTTAAATGGAGCTTTTCAATTCCATTAAGACATAGAAAATCAGTCAGTTTTACACACTGTACTTCTGTGACTGTGAAGCATTGTATAAAAGCCTAATGTAAGAAATGAAAACATACACATTTTCCTGCCAGTAATCCACCATATTGCACATGCACATGCGCATCTGTGAAAGTGGCAGTGTGGGTACACAGAGCAAGCTGTACGCTCTCACAGCCCAACTGTGCACTGCAGTTTCAACCCAAATGTCATAACACAAGTCTTGAGTAAGGAAAGGAGGGTTTGGATGTTAATTGTTACTTAAGCCGGTGAAAGAGCAGAAAGTATTTGAGGGGAGGGTGGTAGGTGGGTGAGAGCTTTTTTGCACAGGTTTATGTTGAAGCAACTTCTTGATATTACAAAAAAAACCCTCCTACTGTATCTCGTACATTCTGCTTTGCTTCTGTGAAATAGCAAAGCCCTTTATATACTGCTTTACCATGTGCTATAACCAGCTGAATATGTTAAAATAGAGTTGAGAAGACAAACATGCTTCAAGGAACCAAGTGCTGATGGTTGTTGGTTTTTGACAGTTGTGAAAGGCTTGTTGGAGGGCTGAGAGCTAAAGTGCTCCCAAATTTTGTACGGCTAGCCTATTGGCAGAGAATCAAAACAAACGTCAAAGCAAAACTGGCTGTTGCTGGTCATCACAGCTGGACCTGGGTGCTTTGTGGCCAGGGCTCAGTTCTGCCGCTGCTCTTTGAGGAGCAGCGTTTGTGCTTTGCGACACGGTCTCTTTTTGCCAGGTCTTCTCCCCCTGGTAGCAGGCACAGAAGTGCTGAGACAGAAATGAGCCAGACTACTTCCCCCACTTTACCCATAATCTTTTTAACTGACTTCTTAATCTTTCTACGGTGAAAAGAATATTTCAAATGCTGAATATCTAGATCACTTAATGCATATACTCCACAAGGTTCAGTGCAGTGTTTAAAAACTGTACTCCTTTCTTTGTTGGTTTGTGCTAATATAAAAGGACAGAATAGTAGAAAATCCATGGTGAAATCAGGGGAAATACATAAATACAGCAATTCTTTTCCTGGCATGTGCAATAATAGTCCTTTTGGCTCATATCTTAAGTAGATTGATTTCTGTATCCTTGTTAATTTTGATTGTACAGTTTAATGTTGCTGTAAGTAATACACCAGAGAACTGGATAAACACTTATTTTAGCTGGCTGTTTGTTCTGGTGAGTTCTCAAAACTTTCTGTATCAAAATAACAATATCCCATTTGTGCTAAATATCAATAGATAGCATTTTTATAGTGATTACTTCACACTGTAGAACAATCAAATGTTCTACATTAAATGTTTTATAAAAGAAAAAAAAAAAACTTGTCAGGAAATGGAAAAAAGGATAGAATGCACACGTGCATTCACAACATACCAAGCGCTGAGAAAAGCAAGAAAATGATCTTTGTTGTATCCAGGTCAACCTTGTGTGTTTTGCTTTAAACAGGGCTAATTACCAATGAAAAAAAATTGGTTCTTGCTGTTGGGATAATTATAAATGTGGGTCATTGTGAGCAGGGTTTGTTATGGTGAACTTTAATTATACTTTACTTTTGCTTGGCTGTTTGGCTGAAGCAAACAAGGGCTCTGTTCTTTCAGAGAGAAAACAGAAATAAACCTAGTGACTTCCTTCATTTCAATGCCCACACAGAGGTCTCGTCCCAACACATGAGTCCTCAGAAGAAGAGAGCTGCTTCTTAATTTTAAATAAGCAGATTGTGGTTTAAGGCTCTGGTTTGTTAGACCAGTCTAGAGAAGGCATTATTTGTATAACCATTAAATCGTAGCAATTAGGACAAATATTGCTAATGTGTGGCATGCTTTTTGGCTAATTTATTTCACTTGCGCTCTTGAATCATTCTCTAACCAGTTTCTTTCCTGCTAGGGTATCCATCATTGATATATATGTATCTGTTTTCCATTTGATATGATACAGCGTTCAACTCCTGAAGAATTGCCTGAATACAGTTTATTATTGAGGCTCAAAATCTCAGTAATGTCAGTTGCTCATGGCCCTGGTCTAATACAAACAGTAACAATTCCGTCAGGCTTATCTGAACTTCTGATAAAAATGCCAACTTTGAAATACGTGAAGCATCTGAGAGAAAAATAGTTTGCGTTACCTGAAATATGTAAAAGTGTCATCTGTAATCCTTGATATATAGGTGACTTCCACAGATAGTTACTGGGGTATAAAGGACAAGTTTAGCTATGATCAGGTGCTCCAGACTTCATCCCATCTTAGCATCCCAAACCAGTGAACTTTAGCAGGTACAGCATGTAAGCATCTCAGAAGAGAAAAAAATTGCAAGCATTTCAAAAGTGGAAGTTGGCGTGGCTTACTCAAGATTTCTTTCAACAACAGGAAAATGTACCTATCCATGAAAATTTTAAGATGAGCTCTACAGCAGACAACCTATCCTGAACACACACAGATTATTCATTCTAGGTGCAGAGGGAAAAAATGGTCTAAACCTCTAAGTTTTTAATTTGGAAGTAGATTTTCTTAGCTGTATAGTGGGAAAACCATTTTTTTTTATCAAAGTACAATGAAAACAATGTCTAATACTTAGGCTAAGACAATATCAGAAGTAATAGGGCTTTCAGATGGTGGGCCTTGTGGGGGGTGACTGGGAAGGTCTTCAGTGTTGATAAATCCAGGCCCTACCAGCTTGCTTCTTACTGGAGACAGAAAATACTGCTCAGGGATAATTAATTGCCTTCTCCAAGAATAAGACAGACAAGCAACTGCTCAAAAGCAAGAGACAAGTAAAGCCTATAAACTCTACTAAATCTTCCTTGCTGTTTGAAAATGCTGTGCCTGTGGCTTCAAATCCACTTTCTAGAACCAAGGAAACCAGGTGTGCAAGAGCTGGTTATAACAGTTTATTTTCAGACGGTACCTGTTGAGCTATCTCCCCATCCTTGTCCTTGGGAAGGGTAGACCTGTGATGGTTTAGGAGAGAAAGCTTAGTGCCAAGGACAGGATAGGTCTTTGGAAATGCCCATGGTGCTGCCTGGGTTTAGATACTTGATTTTCTAGACATCTTGTTTAAATGCAGGCATTTGGAAATTGCAAGTAGATGCATATAAAATGTAGATGCTCCCCTAAGAGCAGATTTGTGTTCAGCTGTACTATATTCTGGCTATGTGAAGTCTTCATTATACACTAGCTGCTTTGACCTTTTCTTGAATGCAGCCAGCCTCTGAAATTGCAGGAGAAAATGGAAAGGTTTTGAAAGACTTACCTCCTAAGCACAAGTACTGCAGAATATTTAGCACTTAAAACTTTAAAACTTTAACTTTTCAGACTATAATTTCTTAATTGCTTAGAGGCATAGCATAGTCCTGGTACAGCAAACTCTAATAACATACGATTGCCTTAACTTTTGTTCTGCTACACAACGGTTTATGTTTCCCTGCTGGGTGTTAATTATTTTTTCCTCAGATTTCAGAAGACACTTTGGCAGTCTGATGGGACAGGGCCAAAAATTTCAGTCTCAAGCTGGGAGGTCTATACAAAGGATTGAATTCTGAACCGTAAATTTAAAATTAATTTCATGTAAAAAGACAAATATATTGTGAGTGAACTTCTACTGTAGTCTTTCTAGCAATGACGCCTCTAATTTCAGAAAGTAAATCAGTCTTGGCTGCTGCTAACTGTACGCTTTGTTCATGCTTTGTGACATTCTAACACAGGCTGCTGTTGAACTAATTATTGCCCAGAAAAGGAAGGAAATATGTTGTGGAAGATGCAGAGCTTGATCCACAGTTCCTGTTGAACTCAATGGGAGTCTTTCTATTGATTCTCATGAAATTTTGGATCAGGTCTATGGAACACAAGTTCAGCTCTCCAAAAAAAACCTGTGGCTATTAGAACAATAAAAACAAACTTCATACTTGCAGATTTATTCAGTGTCATGATTAAAAAAGAAATCTTATTTGCATTCAGTCATATAGGACCTGACTTTGATTTCTTCTGATGTTGTTCTTTTTGTCTTGAGGCTTAGGTTTTCCCTGTTTAAGAAAAAATAAATAATTCTTCCTGGAAGCTTAAATTAAGAAGCTACTTACATCTTTATTTAAATATAATAATGTAAAGTTGTTTTGGTTTGGTCTCTTTAATGATTTTTTTCCCCTTCTTTTCTTGAAGAATTTCTATTATTAGATGAAATTCCTCAGTTTGTGGTTTTAGTTAATTTGCATTTTGATAATTTTTTAGCCAAAATGTTTCTGGGAAACTCACTAATGTTCACACACTTTTGTTTCTCTTTTACATACAGGTACTATTGGATACAATCAAAGAAACAGGATAGATACTCTTATGTATCTTCTAGCCTATCCGCAAAAGCCAATGGTAAAAACAAAAACAATTGAACTGATAGATTTTGAGAAACTGCCTGCTGGACAGAATGCCACAGTCGCTGTGATGAGCTACAGTGGTTACGATATCGAAGATGCTCTTGTCTTAAACAAGGCCTCTTTGGACAGAGGTAAGAACCATCAATTCTTTCCCACTTCTCTAGTGTGTGTTCTAATACATGTTTTAATAAACTTGTTGTCTCGTGATGTTATCCTAGAATAATGTTTATTGCAGTTACGAACAGTACATCTTCAATTAGGAAATTAAATTCCAAAACTGCTTTGAATGCTTTTGTTTGTTTTCTGCGTGAATAGTGATTATAATTCCATGTTTGCAATAGTGGGGTGAAGTTGCCAACGTGTGAATAAACTTCTGAGTATGGATATTATAAGAAAAAATGCTAACTTTTGACCTCAAATAAAAAGTGTAAATGGTTCCTTTTTGAAAAGACCTAGTTTACAAAAAATGTGAGGTATTAGATAATCTGTTCTATTGGGCTTGCTTTTTAGATGGTTACCTGAACCTTTGTTCATTACTAACAGAGGGGTCTCATTATTTTCACCAGTAACAAATGCAACAGATAAAATTTGACTTCTGAATGTATTTGGGAAAGGAATGGAACGCATGGCAGTTTGTGTCATTGTGAACTTGATTCTCTGAGGGAGCAATAGCAGTATTGCCTACTTTCTGAGAGAAAATAATAGTATTGTCTAAAGCAAAATAATTTCGTGTTTATCCAGAGATAAACTAGTGACCTGCTTCCTTAAAAAAAAAAAAAAAATCTATATGGTGCAGTGTATTTTAAGTAAAAGTACATAAGCACCAAATAGAAGGTAACTAAGTGAAACCTATGTTTGTGCCAGTCTGGCCTGTCTTGCTCTCTCTACAGTTCTTCAGCGCTTTATGTTAATGCTGCTGGGGGTTGGAGGAGAGTTGCCTGAAAACTTAGTCTCTCCTCTCTCTTTTCTAAATAAATTCCCTTGAGAGAAGACATAGTGCAGTGTGATCAAATTGGTTTTAGTTTCGGGTGGCCAAAATCAGATTCTTCCATGACTTTATTCCCCCACACACTCCCTTCCTCCCAGTTGCTAGGCAGCAATAACAGTATTCCTAGACATGTATCTTTGGCATTAATGTCTGCCGCATTTAATTTATGCCTCCTTTTCTAAAACAACAACAGGCGTGATTTAAAACTGAATGTTTTCTTTTCTGGTAGACTGGTAACATTTACAGGGAGAGCTGTAGTGCTTGTCAGGAGTTACTTGACATAATCTAAAGATATAGATCTACTGTATGTGGCCACAACCATCTTTCAAATGAACTAAAATAACATAGGATTATTAGAAAGCCTTGCTCTTGGCTATCTGTAATTCTAAATTTGATTAAAGTGTTTAGTATTGTGGCTAGTTGCTGTACTTGGAGAGAAATTCCAGAGATGCTACTTTTCTCATCTAAAACCCAAACCAAACCTATTTTATAACAATATATGTAATTCAGAATTCTTTCAGCTGGGAAAAAAGTGAGTAACGGGGTGATTATATGAAACAGTCAGTACTTTCCTGGTAGGTTAGCTTGTGTCAACCACAACATGGGTAAAAGTTCAGGTTTCTTAGAACTCCCGAAAGGAAGAGGTGCTGTTCTCATCCTGGTACAGTCTCTTCTCCTGTGTTATGTTTCCGTATGGACCACCAAAGGTAAGAGAAATGATGCGTGCGTGCGTGTGCAGAGGTATAGAAGGGGATTGGCACAACTTCAGAGTTGGACCGTAGTCCAATGTCTGAAAAAAGTAGCATGCATGATCTGATTTTTAAATTGTGAGCTACTAAATATCCATGTACAATGTTAGGCATATTCAAGACAACAAATAATCTAACTAATAAAAAAATATTTTATATTCTGTAGCTCAGCTTCAGCATTCTTGTTTTATTCTGATAACGTATTTTACAGAATCTTTGAACTCCTAGGCAGATGAGTTTGTGTTACATTTTAGGTTTTGGAAGGTGTCTTGTATATAAGAATGCCAAGTGTACACTGAAGCGTTACACAAACCAGACATTTGATAAAGTTATGGGTCCGATGTTGGATGCAGCTACCCGTAAACCAATTTGGCGCCATGAAATTTTAGATGCTGATGGTATCTGCTCTCCAGGTATGTCAAACTACATGTTCAGTCATGGCACGTTCGTAATCGTAGAAATTAATGTTCTGTTAATATTTCTTGTGCACCTGGTTTTATACTTAGTGTAATTAATTTTTTTTCTTGAAGGTGACAGTATTGTAATGGAAAATTAAAAAATATTAGTTTCTGAAAGCAGCGTGGTCCAGTCATTGGGGGTTTTTTTGTGCATGAGAAAATGGAGCTTTATGTTTAATTAGAAGAGTGAGTCTTTAACAGTGTGAATCTGTTGAAGCATTGGAACTTGTAGTATTCTTATACCTTCAAACTGGCAAACTGATTCCTTATTATTTTGATTTCATACATCAAAACCTCCTAGCATGCTGTCAGTTAATGCAATTGTTTGAGGAAGTAAAACCTTGTGGTTTTAACAATTTAGAAATATGTTTGGAGAGAGGTAAGAAAATAAATACAACTGCATTTAGTTATGAGGATAGGTATATAACTTTCCAATGGAAATAAATTTGAGAAAGAATCCTCCCATACTGTCATCCCTCAATTAGGAAACAACTTAATAGATCTGCTGAGATCTAATAAGAAAGGTGCTGTAAAAGGCACTAAACTTAATTCCATTATAGCAACACAATTGGGTCACTTTTGCTCTTTAGCACATCACAATGGAGCTTTCAAAGTTAATTAAAAAAAAAAAGGCAAAAATCTTCTGGAGTATTAGGATAGATAGGACTGGGGTGGACTCCAGAGTGAGGCTGTTCTCAGTGTGTAGGTAAAAACCTCTTTGAAACAGTTCATTTGGACAGAAAAGAGACATCGGCTGAAGTTCAGTGTAATTTTGCGGAGGAGGTGGGAAGCAGGTACTTGATGTGTGTTAGTATCATTGGGCATGCTACTGATCTGGTTTTCTATGTGAAGGGCAGGATAAGAGAATGGAGGGGAAAATAGCAGATATATGAGACCAGAAGCAAAAAGTAAGTGCAAGGAGAGGCTGAAAGTAGTCTTGTACAACTCATTGTGGAAGTAATGTGATGTCCTGAATTTAAGTGTGAATTTCTAAAATTTGTCAGTTACAGTGTTGCTTGTTAATTTTCTCCTTACTTACGGCAGATGACTTCAGATGGTTTTGTATATTCTTTAGACCCAGGGTATGTTGAATAGCTATTCTCATAGTACACCCAGCATGCAAGCTATTCTGTTTTGGTTTACAAAAAAACCCTAGTTTAATGATTCTCTTACTATGCAATATTTAATAAAATAACATGGCGTACTTCCTGGACATGTTCCTCCCAATTTGTCTTCCAGCTTACCTTTCTTTAAAGCTTAAAATGTATTTCTAACATAGGTAGCCAGATATGTTTTCATGGTGCTTTTTTTTCTTGTTCTTTGAAGGTGAAAAAGTAGAAAATAAGCAAGTCTTGGTGAACAAATCTATGCCAACTGTAACCCAGACACCTCTGGAAGGAAGTAGTGTGCCTCAGCAGCCACAGTACAAAGACGTGCCAGTAACGTATGTTGCATCATAATGTTATACTTGGGGAAGGTACATGGAGGAAAAAAAAGATACCTTGTTCTTTACAAGTTCAGCTTAATTCTCCCTTTGTTTCTATTGTATCTCCTTAAGCCTTTTCTTTTCCAGAAACATACTGCACTCTGGAACTTTAAATATATAAATATATAAAATATATATA